ACACGAGTGCCGTTGCCAGCTTTTGGCGGAGGCGGCGCCCCTGCGAGGGGCGTGGGAGGCGCTGGAGGTGGTGCGGCCGGAGGCGGAGGTGGCGGAGCCACTTGATTAGCAACCAATTGGGAAAGCTGCTGAACCATTTCCGCTAACGCCGTCACTTGCACTCTCACATCGGCTTGATCCCTTGTACCGTCTCTACCCAACCCGCTAGTCCTCGACGCGCCGGGGGCTGCGTCTCCAACAGAGGACGCTGCTCCTAGCACTGCCGAATGGCCTGCGAGATGTTGACTTGTTGCACCCCCACCAGGGTCTCTTGAATCAGCTGGGGCATCGTGACCAAGTCCTGAACTTTGAACAGAACCGCACGGAGGGTCGGGGATAGTACTTGTAAAAGCATTCCCTTGCGACGATGCGGCAACACCGGAGGCATCTTGTGAATCTGAAACCTGAGGTGCTCCAACCGGCTGATGGGTTCCTGGGGGAACTGTGCCCTGACTTGAGGCTTTAGCCGCGCTTGTTTCCGTAGCTGTTTCGGCTATTGATGCGGCTTTTGGCGGGGACTCTTGAATCGGAACAGGGGTCGCACGAGCTTGTTGGGTGAGGTGCGCAACAACACGTTCGAGATCACCAAGTCGTTGATGCATCACAGAATTTTCCTGGGACAATCCACGAATGGTATGCTCTTGACTGGCAATGGTTTGTTCTCTTTGTGAGATTGCCTGTTGAGCCTCTTGAACAATGCGTTGAACCTCTTGCTGAGCGTCCTGTTGAGTGGCATTAACAACCTGTCGTGCGTTCTCGACATGGCCAATGGCTTCCTGTCGTGTCTGCTCGATTAGTTGCCTAGCCTGAGCCTCACTTTGTTGTGCTGTTTGTACAGCCTGCTGTGCTTGCGAAGCTAGCTGAGCGGCCTGAACCCTAACGTCTGATACTTCTCTTACAGCCCTTTCCCTGATCCATCCGGCCTCTTGTCTCGCCTGGTCGGCGGCCTGCTGTTGGTGCAAGGCGTGATTGGCTGCCTGAGCAGCGAGGTCGGATGCTCGATGAGCTTGCTGCACCGCAGCTCCAGCTATAAATGCCGCAGCGGGTACGTTAGTCATCGGGTCAGGTAATTGCGATCCCTGTGAAGGAAACTGAATGGCTGGGGAAGCTTCGGATGATGTAGGTTCTGACACGATAGGACCACTCGGGGGTGATGATGGTTGTGTTTGGGGTGCTCGTTGAGGTGTGGATGTGCGAACTGTGGACATAGCTGCAGGAACCATGGCTAGGTCAGGGTCATCCGGTTCAGAATCCCTATTTGGGGTTGACCTTGAACGGGGTTCTGATGGCGGCGATAAGCCCGTTGAAGCCATGACACAGCGATGCAATTTTGCACTCACACGAAGCTAGCTCCACGCACTTTGAGCAGCGTGTCAAAAGGTGCTACGAGGAGATATCCCTGGATTGGCAGCTGGTTGCGAAACGCTCAAGTAAATACGCCCTGCTGCTTTGCACCTGATGAATTCTGTATTTGTAATTGTACTTGTAGATTGATTGATCCGCACTGCCGCACTATGGTGCTTTATCGAGGGATGTTGCCAAGCTGTATTGAGAATTTGTCTGCAAATCGAATGCCTGTAGCTGCAAAGATGCTGTACCGCGCAAAGCGACGGTTTTAACGGCTTGCAAAGAAAGGCTATCGAAGTACCCGCTTGGCGGGCAACTGGGATGCAGACCGATGGAGTTCTTCGAGGTACTGCGATGGATGCAGGCCCCTTGCCGCCGGAATGAAAAGTCGATTCCGGGACTCCTCCCCAAGGTTCTCAAGTGCGTTGGCAAATCCGCTCGGCCCGAAATGCGGGAAGTTGCGGAACGCTGCGATGCCTGTCTTTTGAGCTTCACGGACAATCGCAGCTGTATCGTCGATGAGGGCGTGGGCACCCAGCCCCTGAAGGGCGTCTGCTTTGCCTCCCCTACCCAACCTTTCGTGTACGATTTTTATCGCAGAGAAAGTGAGTCCAGATGTCGTCCGCGCGTGCTCCAGGGCGACCTGGAACTCGCGGCGGCGATACTCGCTTGCAGCCCTGCCCACGAAGGATAGCACTATAAAATTTATAGGTGCGTAGTCGGCTGCAAATTGAACGAGATGCCGGATCACCTCCGGGTTGAGGTGGGGTCCCTGCTGCCCAACGTCAAGAACTCCGTGCCAGTCAAGAGCGATGGTAAGCTCCTTGGGCGGCACAGTCCAGGCGGCGGGGGTGGCGCAGGTGGTGGCCTTCTTGGTGGCGATCGAAAGCGTGTGCCAGCCTCGGAAGTTGCAGCGCTAGCAGCAGCTGCTTTAACGACCTGCGGCGGTGGCGGCTTGACGATGTACCCTTGTGGCGGGTTTGAGCCCGATTTGCTCGGCTTTGTTCAAACCTCGCGGAGGCGCCTTGTACCCGAATGCACTCTGAGTCCGAATAGGAGACCTTGCTCGCGGCGGGGATTTCCTCGGAATATCTGCTTTTGCCGGTGCCGAAGAAGCTGCACGAGGAAGTTCCTTGGGCAATGGAGGCTTGCTGCCAAAAATGACCTTTGGTGCGGCCTTTGGTGGCGGCGGTTGAATTGCTCCAATCCTCCGGCTATGCAAAGCAATAGGCTCAGTGTGAGTCGGTGCCTCGTATACGCGCCGAGGCACGTAAGCTGACCTGCCAGTTCTGATGGATTCCGCGTCCTGCGGAGGTTCCTCTTCCGAGCTGTAGGCGTCGAGGCGATAGTGCTCCGCTGGCCCTGGGCGTCGATCTGGAGATCGTGATCGCGAGCTTGTGGATGATCTTCTTGGGGGATCTCTCCACGTCTCGTCCGCAAGCGAATACGGGTCAGCCTGACGGAGATGTCCGGATGTCCGCTGTGCTCGGCGGTGAGATGTCGCCTCACGTGGCTGTGAAGCCTCCCGAACGAGTACCCAAGTGCCGTGCTCGTCAAATCGTGTCACAGGGTATATACTGTTCTGTGGAGCCAATACAATGGGCCGTGTGGCAAGGGAAGTCCTAGATGGCCTGCCCTCCCGCGCAAGCGCGGGTTCAACACTGTGTGCCCGATGTTCCACAGGGGTAGCAGCAGTCGGTCCTCGTCTCGGAGGCGATGGAGACCTCGACCTTTCGGGGCGATGGGGACCTCGATCTTTGTGGCGACCGTTCCCTGCTGCTCTCCCGCCGCGTTTCCGCAGCTCTAGCGTACACCCCGCGAAGCGCTGTCTTGGCGGCGCCCCGCAACACTTGTCTTTCCTCTGCTGATGGTCGGATGCGAGGCAATGGAGTGCGCGAATCTTGTAGCCAGGATGAAGCTGAAGGAGGCGTCGGAGGGCGTAGCCAGTCCGCTGCACTGCTCGCTGCTTCCGCCGCGCCAGAGGCTGCGGCTTTATCCTGAGATTGCACACCTTGCGGCAAGACCACACCTGCGGTTTCAACCGATGCGAGACGCTGCTGATAAGCGTTGTCCGCGGCCTGGATCACTTCGAAGGCCTCTTGGTCAAAATCCCACAGGTGCCAACTATCCAATGACTCACGCCAGGAAAAGAGCGCCTCGATCTGTTGCTTCGAGGCGTCTGCAAACCTGACCCACCGGAATCGTCTGTTCTGCCGTTTGTACTCGTCAACGACGATCTGTTGCAGAGTGTTGAATAGACGGGCACGCGGCCCTTTCCCACCGCGAGTGCCGCGGTGAGGGCCGGCTTCCATGTGCGACCAAACGGTCGCAGTCACGGAGGGGTTTGTTTACCCGAAAAGCGTTACGGCTGATAACCACTCAAAGGAGAGGGAAACACAGTTTTGTCAACAACGGGGGAACCCGGGACCTTAAAAGGAACGAACCCCTCCGTGACTGCGACCTCTCCCTTAACCTTGTGGGTAGCGCGAGCAACGCGCTCTTTTCAGCACTTGAGCCAAATGACATGCGGACATGTCATCTGGGTCCTTGTCATGTTTGTACATCATGCAACTTGTTGTACCTCATGCAACTTGTTGTACCTCTGGGCCATAAATGTCATCGTGATAATTGACTGTCATTACCCAAATTAATGGGGTCTTGAACCCATTTTTAACGGGTAATGGAGACTCCAGGAACTCTCTTTCCAGCAAGTTCTCCAAGGCTTTCGGTCCGCAAGCACCCAGGTTTCGGTCGCGCAGTGTTTTGCCACCAGAACCATCACAGCTGAGTTGGCAGAGTTAGCGTATGCGACCAGAAGGGGCCCAAATGGCGACTCCAAGTGGTTGGCTGAGTTAAGCGCTTCTGAACGGCAACTGAGCAGGCTGTGGCTCAAAAAAACGGAAATTTCAAAAATGGCTTGCCCTGGTAAGTGGAAACATGGACCAAAGCTTGCGGTTTGCCCCTCCTGCTTAATTTTGAGCCACCAGCAAGTAAACTGGGGGAAGACACATCCCTCATCAGACTGGAGAACCTAGCCACATATTGCATTCGATCAGACCACAGGTGCTGCTTTAGACAAGCCACCCCGTGTTCCAGAAAGGGTGAACTTCCGGAGCATGGAAGGCCCAGCAAGTTTGCCCCCACTGTACGTCCAAACTCCGCAGCAAACATGCTACTTCGGGGCAACATGAATTTCTTCTACGAAGCTTAAGGCCGAAGACTTTTGTCTTATGTTTTAGTCTCCACTGTTTGGATCTTTCAAATGAGTGGCAATTGAGAGTACTACCAGTCTATTTGTTCAACATTTGCCACTTCCAGCGATGTTCGAATAAAAGCCTTCCCTAAAACATCAAATCCAGCATTTGGGAAGTAAGAAGGCGATGCCATTTGCCATGATTTCATCTCGACCTTGTTTTTTTTGAGGGTGCCCCATTTTAGGGGTAGGTGTCAAGGGAAGCCAAAAGAACACCAACTAAATATTTTGTGCACCCCCTATTGGTCAAACATAGTTTACTGTGCTAAGCCTGGACCAACTCAGACAACTCACAGGCAGTGAAAAGAAAAACCAATAGACAGATTGAACAACTCGATCCACGTCGGAGGCTTGGGTCTGCCTCTGCACAGTAGAGCTTCAGGTCATCGTCTGTCCCATCCACCTGCACACAGAAACCGCTGAGAAAGCTAGATGGTACGATGTTTGATTTGGGGGCAACCCTTTGGTGGACATCATTCACATAGGGGGTTGATGTCCACCAATCGCAGCACCTACCCACACTTGCATCGAGCCAGCTCACGTCAATCCCTGGAGAACCGCCCAAGCACAGGACCTTCATGATGAGAAACAGCACCCAGGAAGTTGCCAAACACGTACAAGCATGTTGCGAGTGGCTACCTATTAGACACATGTTGAAGCCATTTGTCTGAAAGGTGAGGTGTCATTTTGATGAGCCAACGTGACCACAACAAGATGTCAACATGGACTTGCTGACCCTGGGTCAAACTCATTCAGGTTCAAAGGAAGAACCACAGAATGGCCGCCGGCGGCCGGCTACCCAAAAAAGAGAGTCCGATCCTAAACATGGTGAAGGGGCTTTGAAACCTCCCTTGCTCAGTTGCCCAAGAAACCCAAAAGGTGAACCCTTTGACTGAATACGGACCGAAACAGGAACACCAAAAGGTCGAAAGCTGAGGGGGTTTGGGGGCTCCTTCCCATTTTTTCTGGTGAGTAGCTTAACCCCTTCGGACCTTCTTCTGGCAGGGCCCGGAAGGCGCGTAAGTCCGCCGAAGCGCCCGCGACGGCTTAAGATCGAAGATCGCCTCCCAGGTGCCGGCGGCAAGGCTCTCCTCGAGGGCGGAGAAGTCCTGGCGCTGGCAACCTCATCCAAGGGTGGTCTAGGTCCTCCGGATTTGGAGGTTAGAATAAGTTGGTACCCTATTTTTTTCCGTAGGCTATTTTAGTAGGGGAACCCTCCCCCAAAGAGTTGGTGAAAGGGCACTACTGGGGGACCTAGTTGGGATGGCAGCCCGATCCGAGTGCAGGACATGACACTCTCTCGCAGGACAAGGCTGCAATCAGGGAATAGCAACTGAGCCACGAAATCCAGTTTCACAGAGAAACCACGCAGGACGTCAAGGGTGCAATCAGGGAACGGCAACTGAGCCAGAAATCAGTTCCACAGAGAAACCAGAAACGAAAGGATTGCCCCCGTTTGGTTGAGGGGCCCTTTGAGGGCTAACGGGATGGCGGCTCGCCTGGACCTCGATACAAGCTTTGGGTTGAAGTCGACCAGTTTTCCACATGGAAAACCCTGACGCTACTCCCCAAATCAACATAGAACCAATAAAAAAGCGCCTGTATTTTAGAGAATCGAATCTGACAAAAGGGGCCCGGACCCCACAAGAGGGCGAGTTTTGCAGAGTAACACTTGGCTTCGTGTCGGGCGCATGTCATCAGTGTCCCTGGGCTTGTACTCCCCTTGTTCTTTCTTAGTCTGACCATGCCAACCCGTTTTGCCAACCATGCCAACTATACCACCATATGTGGGTGTGTTGTTTAGCCCCCCCCCGATGTGTTTCTTTCTCTGGTTTCTCTTTCGATCCACAAAACAGGGGTACCCTCAACAAAAGGCGAACCACCCATCTGTGGTTTTATTCGTTGGCGGCACAGGTCGTGAGTGATCGAAAAGGCTCGAAGGGTAAGAATTGGAAGCTTGCTCACAACACATGGACCATTAAACCAGCAATGTCCACCTTCTTTGAATTCCTACTCTGAAAACAAAGCTAAGCCAACCCCTTCTCTAAAGGGGGCTTCACAAATCACAGGGGGATAAAACTCTATCTTACCTATGGTTGCTCGAAGCCCGGACAACTCATCGATTGATGCAGGATACATCGTCTCAACCCAATGCCCACATGTGACAGCCTGGAAAGCAGGATGTCTCCCAAAAATGGCTTTGAGCTTCCTAGTCATAGGTGGCCTTTTCGAAAAATAGATGGCCGTTGTAAATGGAACAACACCCATCTAAACCAGTGGAACCCATCTATTTTCTTAACCAAACGAACCTAAAAAAGGACAAGCCTTTTGTTCCTTTTGAGAAGCCACACCCACAAGCCACCCACAGCCACCGACTGCTTCCGCAGGTTTATCGACACTTCCACTTCCCCAAGCGTTTGGTCCTGTGAGAAGAAGGTGTCCACGCCAGCCTGGCAGCTCTGCCGGGCGAGCCGCAGCCAGTTATTTTCCCCCGTTGGTCTTAAAGGGAATTGTGAATATAGCAAGCAAATCGGGCTCTCCCTTTTTGGCTTCGAGCGCTATGACTCAAGGGCCCTCGTACCAGAATGGCCCGGTCATGCACAACATGTTCAACACCCTGGCTTCAATCTATGCAAATTACAGGGAGAATTCACACTCAACCTGCTTTCAGGTGTTGAGCCGCTTTACAGCAAAAAAAGACTGTCACATTGTTCTCACAACTTCTCATTTGGATCTGTTTCAACCACATAAACTCCAGTGTTGATCACCTTCCACATGAAGTCCGCCTTCATTGGCTTCGTGAAACAGTCCGCAACCATTGTAGCAGTTGCAATCCAGCGAATCCGATCTCCTCCTTCTGGAAATGATACTGCCGTACGCGTTCCGTCTTCATTCCACAATGATTGTCTGCTGGCTGCTATCTCGATAGATAATTAGTCTCTTGTCTGCTATCTTCGGTGGAACCTCTGTCTTCAAATGGGACACGAGTGATCTGCAATCACTCAAGTATGTGTGCGGGACGTACTTCTTGATAGTCTCGTACCAACCAGTCAAATTCTTCAACCGTCCCTGTGTTTCACATATAACTGCTCGGAGCTTGTCTCCGCTCTCGATCCCATTCTGCAATGCATACGTCTCTGCCTGCATAGTTGCACGACAAACTCGCTTTATCGTGCTCGATGCAAACCCCAAAGGCACTACATCAAACGTCTCGCAATTCTGATTCCTTGCCTGTTCACTGGACACCAAGAAATGGAAACGCCCCTGTTGTGACTTATGGTTCTCCTCATTTGCAAATGACGCATCCGTGACTGTCAGAATACCGACATTTTGCCAGTCAAGTCTTCCTGCATGGAAATACAGACTCGACCCAGTGCCTTCCAACGCCAGCTCGACGGTCTTGTTGGTTGCCTCCTTCAAGGTAGCCACAGTGGCTGCCTTGGTGAAGGACTGTAACCTCGACGTCCTGTACAAAAGATCAGGGCGTCCCTACCTGGCAATCCACGAAAGAGATCCAACCACTGACCTCAACTGCGACAGTTCCAATGGGTTTACTGCATCGGTCAACTTTCTGCCTACCTCGATGTTGATCATGCTCAGCTTCCTAGTGTTGTCATCCACGTCGATCTTGATCGAGCTGTCCTTCTCTTGGCTAATGCTAATGCGCTTTCCGCAATACCTGAAATTGCCTTCCTCGCTGCTTCCGACAACAAACTTGCTCAACAAGTTCTCGATCGTAACCTTTCCGGTTTCAGTGTGGGCATACAGGAAATCATCCACGTGAGTGGTCATCACTGCATCTACTCTGCCATCCGCAACATGGTAATAGAACGCAGGGACAATCCTACTCGATGTCAATCCGCGTGCCGCTGCATCTGTACTCACTTGCAACCAGAAGCCTCGACCGCTGTCAGTCAAGCCATAGACCGGTTTCCGAACCAGTAGATACGCCGTTGGGGAAACGTCCGGAAGTCGTCCTCGCGGCTGTCGCATGCGATCCAGCTCTACGAGCTTGGAAATATGTGCTGGTGATGTCACAAGACTTCACCGCCACCTGATGAGCTGCTGCCCAAGCACACACTATGTGGTGAGCTTCCACGTCGCCAGTAGGTGCGTCTCCTCGAAGTCCTTCACGATCCTCGAAATTTCCGCATATCACCAAACGGCTCTTGTACTTGGGTTTATATCCAGGCTGACCCCTCTGGAAATCGTTCTTGTCAACCTCGACCCACCTTGACGGAATGGCAACATGACCTGCATCCAGCAGACCTCTCAGTTCTTCTCCGACAATGGGAACAGCTGCTCCGAACTTCTGGAATTTCTCCCATTCGGCCGCTCTAGCCTCAGTCAATGCACTTTGCACCTCCTCACTTGCTTCGTCATATACGAGCAACCTTTCTTGCACCGCATTATTGTTTTTTCTGTGCATTTTCTGTCTCACTGACCCTTTCTGCCATGAACGCTACGTACTTCTCTCTGCTCACATGAGCATGGCCAGACGCCACATTAGCGGTCATGTTTGCGTCCTCCGAGCTCGCACTTTGCTGTCCACTCATCTGCTCAAAGTGGCTCCTTATGGAATCGGGCAAATCATCCACTAACTGTGCACTCGTACGTCTGGACTGCGGTTCACTGCCAAGCGTCCCTCTTTCAGGATCTGGTTCCAAAACAGGAGATGCTCTTTCAACTCGCGGCCTCACGTTTCGACCTGCGATTTCGGCATCCCGTGTCCTCGCAGCTCTCATGGGTTCATCCTCACCTTCAAGCAACCCATGTTCCGGGATTCTCGGTAATCCGGATCCCTCAGTCTCTTCCGGTTCAGGGTCACTCGGAACTTCACCCTCGGGAACTGGGACCTGACTCGCGTCTTCGAACGCCTGCTGCCCGTGTTCTTTGATGATCTCCTCAGGCACAATGTCATGTCCGTGAAGAATGAACCTTCCTAGGGCTTCAGCATCATTTGCCGGCCTCCAATTTCTCCCATCGACAAGCACTGGGATGTTTTCACACAACACCCAAACCTTCTTGTCTCCTTCCTTTCCACTTACTCTGCTTGCCGGGCTCCATTGGGTCTTTCCCATGAAGTCTCTGCGAAAACACACGATGTCCCCGACTTTGTAGTTCTCATAAATCGGCTGCGCGTTCCTGAGCAACGCCTTGTGCTGAAGTGCGAATATGGAATCGGGATCAATCCTGTCCCCAATTGCTCCAAGATCAGTCCAGCCTTCTTCATCCATGAAGCTATTTGCTCCTCTCGGGCATGTACCAAGAACCCATTGTGATGGGCTGTAGCCGCCCACTCTGTGCATGGAGTTCTTGATCCGGTGCACCTGTGACTACGCTGGCTGTTCGCGACTCCCCCTTTGCTCGTTTTTCAACTTCGGCCGCCGGTGGTTGCAAGAGCACCACAGCAATGCTAACCCTCGGATAGTCCACCCGCATCTTCGCGGGAACATCTTGCACCAACAAGCGCCACTCTTCGTGGTCGCCATCCTTGGGCCGAGCAAACACTGTCTTCCGCCAGCCTCTCTTGATGAACTCCTGCGGCATCCTGAATGACTGACCATAGCCACGCACCCGCAGATAATACTTGATGTTCATCTCGTAGTTCATCTCCTTCACCGGCTTCTCCTTCTTCGACTGATCAATCTCATAAGGACCAATCCAGCCTTCGTGGTCATGATTGACGTTCTCCACAAATTTCTGCAACCAGTACTTCGGCGTCAACTGAAGCTGCGCCCTCTCATTGTGTTGCAAGCTCATCTCAAAAGGTCTCGTTGGTCGTGCCGAGAAATCTCCGTGTCCACAGCGATCAGGGTCAACATCTCCAATGAAGTCCGTGTCACCACGCACTGACCCCGCAGAAGCGTCCCGTGTCGTCTCCGGTGAGCTTGCCTTCCTCTTCCGCAATTCACGGCTGTCGAACTCCCTCCATGGCGCACTGCCCAACTCCAACGTCCTCGACGATGTGGATCGGCTCCTCGCACGCCTGAGAGGTGTCCTTGACCTGCCCCTCGAGCTCCTGGCCTTGTCGCGCTCCTCCATGATTCCTTTCACCATGCCAGCAAGCCGAGACACCTCGGCCTTCACCGGGTTCTCCTTCACCACCGATTGGGGCTTCGCCTTGGACTGAATCTTCATGAGCACGGGCTTTGGCGTCGAAGCTCGAGAAGCCGCCGGCTTAGGAACGCCTCTCTGCTCCTTCGGGAACAAACTCTCCACCATCTCGATCAAGCTGTTCGCACTCTCCTCCGTCATGTTGCACATCTCACAGTGGCCGCCACAATCCATTCTCCTCCAGCTATCCCTGTGATAGTGCACGATGCGCCAGTTGTCCTCCGCCATCCTGCGCAGCATTGCTCCAAACAAGGTCGCACCTGAGGCACTCCGATGACGTCCACTTTTGCAAACGAATACCACGTTGCATGCGCCACCATGCTCCTGATAAAAAGCAAGGGCACGTCTCAACAGAACACGCATCGCAAGTGTGTAGACCCCTTTGATGATGCGCAAATGCCTGCCGACGTGTCCTCGGTACCGACCGCAATCAGGGTCATGAATGCCCCTGCAGTCCAGCAAGCTCCCCTAACGAACCCACAAAAGGATGCCCCCAAAAAACGGGAAGCCACGCGCATCTCAGAAGCTTCAAAATATCAACTGGGTGGCCACGGGCACGTGCACCTGCGTCTCAACGGGCTGCTTCGCTGGGATGTCCACCGGCTCCTCAAGAAACCGAAATCTAAGCCGCACCTGCTAAAGTGCCCTTGGTCAGGAATAGCCTGGCCTGCCTGCAAGCAAATCTCGTGATCACTCGAAGTGTCACTGTCGTACGCCACAAATGCTGATCCAGCAGGCTTGTCACCTTTTCCTTTTGGGCCTGGGAATTTGCAATCAGGGTCACCGGCCCAGTGGCCGTGCCCTCCACACCTGAGGCATTTGCTTCTCTTCTTCAACTCTTGCAACTTGGATCGGCGTTGTTCCAGTGTCAGATGTGACCGAACCAACTTTCCTTTCCCTTTTCCTTTCGGCCAAATTCCTCCTTTTCCTTTGGCCTTACCAAAGGCAGCATTCGCCGCCAGCTCCAGCTGAATGGCCTCTCCGACACTGAGCGGATCACTGCTCTCTGCATCCAACTCTTCCATGGCGTTGAGAGCAGTGGCCTCGCCTTCATCACCTATCTCTTCAAATTCGCCATAATCGGGCATCTCTTCCGGATCGGTCATCGGTGTTCTGTCGACACCACTGTCCGCTGTGCACCCGAAACTTTCTTCGCCTTCTGCTTCTTCATGCGGATTCATGGGCTCCCCTTCTTCCCATTCAGGATACCCTGACCAAGCTGGAAGCGCGGACCTTCGCCAGTAACCACTGCCAGACGAAGATGAAGAGCTGTGAAAAGAAGACTTCCCCTTACCTTTTGTCTGATAGCCTCCTTTCCCAGTCGAAGACGGGCCCAGCACTCGTCCTTCTCGAAGGTGTACTCCACCGTAATTCCTGATCAGGGCCTCTTCAACCTTGCTCAGCTCTCTTCCGCCTTCCGAACAGGCTCTGATCACAAGGATCTCTTGATGTGAGATGTTCGCCAACTCAAGCATCAATTCTGAGCGCATCTGCTCAGACAACGACAGCGTTGGATCCATCTCCACAAGGGTCCTCCACTATCTGCGCCTTCGGGAAATGTACGAGATCATGCTCTCCCCTCTCTGCCGGGAAAGTGCTCCTTGCGGTTTCTGACCAACACGAAACAGCTCACGAGCTTCCTCAGTGGCTCTTGGGAAAACCATGTCCCTCACTTGCTTGATCAGATTCTCAATACCTTGCGGCTCACTCAAGGCATCAAGTCCGAGATCACGGGCCACCAAGAACGCATCGCCCCGGAGTCCTTCGACAATCCGGTGAGTAAGCTCCGACCTCGTGTCCCTAAAAGCCTCCTTGGCCTCAGCTTCTGCAGAACCTTCTTCACTTTCTTCTTCTCCTTCTTTCACAGTCCGTTTGGCTGTCTTCTTGGTTCTCAGAAACTCCTCATACATCCTCAGGCGAAGCATGGTGCGGAATTCCCAATCATGGAAACCAGCGGGGTCTCCACCATAGATGTATGAACCACTCCGAGTTTCAGCAGGGTCTGTTGCACGAGCGCCGTGGTCCGGACTGAAACGAAGCCCGGCCACTGACATGACCTACCGCCCTGACTTGCCCGGAGTCGTTCAACCAACGCTCCGCTACCAATCGGGCTCTCACTTTTCGCTTCGAGCGCTATGACTCAAGGGCCCTCGTACCAGAATGGCCCGGTCATGCGCAACATGTTCAACACCCTGGCTTCAATCTATGCAAATTACAGGGAGAATTCACAGGAATCTATCACTACTGGATTTTGTTCCAGGGGTCTTAAAGAGAACCTATCACTACTGGAAATATTTTTCCAGGGGTCTTAACCAAATGGGAGCCTCGCATCAAACACAATCTGGGCCCCCCAGGTCGAAGCAGTTTGTTGTTTCCGGCACCTCGGGCGCTGTTCGCGTGGGGCCTCTATTAAAGGCAGCAGGAACTACCTGCCAGCGGTTAGCCAAATGAATCTACCTGCAACATGGGCAGCCTAGACCTGGGTTTGGTGAATCCAAGCCCCCTGATCTGGAACTACTTGCTGGTGCTATAGGTAAGGAATGACTCGGTCGAGTCCGGGTGTTGGGAATGAACCGTTTGGGAGTCCCCTGAAAGGAAACCACCAGTTGGGTGGTTTTTAGAGGGTCATTCCATTTCTCATTCCCTGCCTATTGAACCAGCAAGACGACGCAAAGCCTCGCGGGACACAGCAGAGCCTGACTGGCCCAACATAAGTTGAATGATCAATATCCCCTTTGGCCGCCAAATGACCATGGGTAACTTTTCCCATGTGGGAACTATCGTCACTTTTGTGGATGTCCAACCAATGGCCATCCCATGTGAAGGACCTTTTGATCAACCCCCATCTGTTGCCATGGCCCGTTGTCAGGAAATCGAGACTTCGCGGATTTGCTTCGAGCAAGTGAGGAGAAGCAGAAAAGCGCAAAGAGACAAAGAATTACACACGCACAAAGGCGCACTCTAAGAGAGAGAGAGAGAGAGGGAGAGAGGTGCAAAACAAGACACGCAGAGACACAGAGAGGTACAAAGATGTAGCATAAAGACACGGAAAGACGCACACACACACACACCACCAATTCTGGCCCATGTTTGAGGTAAACAATACCCGGGAACCACTCCTTGTGGACCTCTGCCTAATGTTCAGAGCGCTCCCTGTTTGCTGGCTGCATGGCTGCCATTTAGGGGACTGCCTGCGGTCTTGGTAAGCAGCCAGCGAACTGCCTGTTTTGCGACCTACCAAGACACAAACACGAAACTATGATCCGAGCAAAGTGCCCAAGGCCCTTATAGTTCCAACCTATTGCAGGTGATTCCAAGTGTTTCTTGCGCAAGGCTCGCGGGCGTGATCCGGTCCAAGCCCTGGCACCAGGCGACAGGAGGGCTTCGGTGAGATTGTCCAACAACAAACTAAAACCTGGACTTGGACCCCCAAAAATCAATGATCATGTGCACCCAGAAATATGGCGCCGCCGGACACGCAAACACCTTGTGCCAGGTAACCGCACCTCGCAAACCATGCTCGCTGCAGCCATGAGCGTCGAATTGAGGGGCCGAGGGCCAAAAGCAAACTTTGGGTGCGTAGGGCCGGTGAAGTGTCGCCACACACAGCGACATTTTTTGGAAGTTGAGTGACACGCACGCAGCGGTTCTTGCTTAAAGGGGAACACCTTGAAGGGGAACACCGAGTCCTCAAAACTTTGAGGTCGAAACTGGCGGCTGCAGCTGCGTTGCATGTCAGCGGCTTCTGGCTCCACAAACCGCGAAGCTTTTGGCGTGGGTCAACGGGGCTAAGCACAAGGCAAATGTGACGTCTGCAGTGGATCTGATGCACAGAGCCGACGCAGCAGCCGAATGCGAAGACTGAATGATTGTGAATATGTCTGGGCAGAGCACGATGTTTGTTCATTTCCCATCCTTTTGCAATGTTGATCATGTGGCTCAGTCTGAATCTCAATACTGATTTAGAGGCGACTCGCAAGGGAAGCCTTGGGAGGGTGCTGGCCCGGAGAACGGTCCCAACTGGCCCCTGGTCACTAATAGTCACTATCAGATTGCATTAGCTTTCCTTGCTGTGGCTGAAACTGTACAGTGTATATCGATGAGTAAGACTGGCCTTTTTGCTCCGCCCTCGTTGACGGCTTGACTGTGATTAGAATTCGCCAGGGCTCCGCTCTGTGACTACCCCAAGGTAGACTTAAAACCAAGCGGTTCGTCTGCCCAAAAGGAGCACAGGGCGTAAGTTCACCTAGTGGTCAAACAAAGGACCCCTCTTTTAAGCATTATTTAAACAACCCCCTGTTTCCTTTTGAACGCTACTTACTTTGCAGCCCACCTGAGAACTAGTTCAACACCACTTCTGCCTTCCTTTTGAAACACAACATGGGTCCTGCGCGTGACAACCTGTGTCGCCTCCAGTCCCATCCCACTCTTTCTGCGCGCACGGCCCCTCTGCGCGCAACGGCCCCGGGTCGACTCAGCGACTCACTCCGCCTTCTGGAACTGGCCAGGGATGGATCGAGTTGCTCGGGCCCTGCATGTACCAACCGAGGAAACAAACTCATGAACTCGGCAACAGCAAGACACATACAAAAAACATATAAGCACGTACACATATATTTATGACTGCAGCAAAGTCGCAACCACAAGTCGTTTTTTTTAATGGTTAGGGGCCATCGCAAGAGGAGCGACTCTTAGTGCCTGTTGGGGCCATTCAGGATCATTCTCAGGGCCATGACATGCCCACAACTCCTGGCAGCAATATGTTCTAAACCAGTCTTGGGCTTCTCGCGGTGGATTTGCGGGGAGATACTGAACCACTCTCCAGGTGCAGATTGTACTCCGTTTTTTTTCTTCTGGAAAATAAATCGGAAAGGCAATCCGGGGCGATCAGTATTTTTTCGGATTGTAATGTACCAGAATGCTGCTGGAACTAGCATGCAGAGGCCTGCAAATGTCATCTAATCGTAACAGAGCACCGCGTTGCATCCAAAACTCATCGTGTCATCCATCGCCCACCAATTGCAGCGTTGTAATTACCCGTTGGTTCACCCGTTTCCGCGTCATGGCGTGCTGCCGGGTGGCATTGATTAATCCAATCTTAACGATGCATAGTTTATGTGTTTACAATAAAGTTGCGCGATCATGTGTCCACGCTACCTGTATTTGGTTGTAGACCTGGCTGCACCTGAGGTTGACCCTGTCTGGGTTTAAACTTGCTCCCGTGAATACTACTGAGGCACCTACTTAGTATGGCGCGTTCGGCAGATCCACTTGTCCGCATAAATCAATTGATTTCAATTCCAGCCCAAATAAACACTTTATCTAATTTCCGGATTGCGGCCTCAATCCCGCAGAGCGGCCACCTACAACTTCCGTCTTTTATGTGGCATGAACTACGGATTCCTGAGCAAACGTACTGTCCAATCCTTTTCCCCCTCAAATGCCAAAACCCGCTCGCATTTCCTGAATGGCGTACACGCTTGCATCCTCGGTGTGTCCCAAAAGGGACCAAGGTTGGTGACCTGCATATTCTCCTCGAATACATTCTTGACAACTTAACACACCTCTGGCTGAGAGTTTGGAAATTGGCGCTGCTCTCCAACAGCGTGAGCACCCAATTCTCAGGCCCCTGAGCAGACTAGGGCTGAGAGTTGGGGCTCGGATAGAACAAATTCCTGGTCAGTTTCAGGGGGGAAGTTGGTTTTGTTTTTGGAGCATTTGAGAGTCCCAAACTATTTATTTCTGGACCATTTGAGGGTCTATTGTTTTGCTTCATAAAATGGGAACCACTACATCTAAAAGCGCAGCACGAGGTAAATCAAGGTTGGTGACCTACAAATATTCCTCGAACACATTTTGACAACTTACCACACCTCTGGCTCAGAGTTAGGCAGTTGGCTGCTCCCCAAAAGCGCGAACACCCAATTCTCAAGCAACCAAGGAACCAACCCGACCACACCCAAGGCCCCCAACGGGTCAAAACAGCCCCAACCACACTAGTGCACCAAAGACAAGACCAACAAGGGCTAAGAAACACCTTTTTTTTAATAACTATATTAGACATCCGGTCAAGACTCTGGATTAAGACCACCATTTCTTATTCCCCATCAAATGTTTTAGAAATACTCCAGACCCTGGTCAAAGCACGCGGTTTTCTTCACATACCGATCGACCGTATGAGTGGTGGGACACAAACACACACACTTAAACTCCAAATGGAGAGTGCTAATCTTTCGAGTACAACTGATGAGTCTCGAGTACAACTGATGAGTCTCGAGTACAACTGGAATGGAGGAAATCAAGTATCGGCTCGCAATGCACTTGGCTTCCCTGTAGCTACTTTAACAGGGACACACAGAAGCAACGGCGGTTCAGGGAGGGGACCAAAAGGACCTTAAATCACTTCTGCAGGTACGTTTGCACAGCAAACTGGATGGGTCTTCGTTGGCCCGCGCCATCGCGGGCCCCCTGCTTCCAAAACCGGCACAAGGTGGTGACAGGGTATTCTGTCACTCCGCACACACACGCCCCTCACAGAGGGGCGAGAAGTCTCTTTTTCGGGGGGAGAAAAAACCACGCGCCCCAAAACCGGGCGAAGACCCCAACAGAAAACAAACGGAGCAAGGGAGCCCAAAAGAAACAGAAAGGCCCCAGGTTGGGTCTCCGCGGGCAAAACCCCAAACAAGAAACAAGAACAACGGGGAAGCCAGGTTTCGGGTCTCCGAGGGCAACAACCCCAAACAGCGCAAAACGACCTAGACCTTGTAGACGAAAGGGGCCGCGAAGGCAAAGAGGCAGAAGAGGAACAGGCCATCCCTAACCGGGCGAACAGGAAGTACAAGAGATAGCCCAGAGAGGAAAGGAAAAAGAAAGGAAAGAAAAGAAAGGGACGAAAGAGAGAAAGAAAGAGAGAGAGAGAGAGAGAGAGAGAGACAGACACAGAAAGAGAGAGAGAAAGAGAGAGAGAGACAGAAGCGTATTTAGGGCGTCGCAACCGCCCGGGGGGAAAAGAAAGGAGCAGGGTGCGTATTTAGGGCGCCGCATCCCGCCCGGGAAGAAGGAAAAAGAAGCAGAAGGCAAGAAGACAAAAAGGAGAAAAGAAGGAAGAAGGAAGAAGGAAGAGGAAGAGGGAAGTAGTAGTAGTAGCGTTTTTAGGGCGACGCATCCCGCCCAGACAGGAACAGAGGATGAAGACCAGGGCTCGCGGAGAAAGACGTCGAATCCCACACAGGGGCCAAGAGGACGGACCCGAAGTAGCAACGGAAGGGGAAGAAGACGTCAAGCCAAACTACGTGAGGAAGAAGAGGAGTAGGAACAGGAAGACAGACACGAAGACGAAGACGAGGAAAAAGGTGAACAACGCGAGGACAACCAGGCCATCCCTAAGCGGCCGAACAGGAGCGGGACGAACGCGCGGGTCACGAAAGGCAGCAAAAAGAGAACGGGAGGAAGGAGAAGCCATCCCTAAGCGGGCGAAGAACCAGAAGACGGGCACGCGGATGAAGAAGGCGAGAAGAAAGAACGTAGGGTGAGACGTCGCTATGATCTGACCGCTGTCTTCCCTTTAGTGAAACCTCGCTCCTGGTTAAATGAGAAATTCCGCTGTTCTATGATAAGCACGTTGAGGTCAAATTTTCCGACAGAGCCGGCCCGGGGTCACACAATGGGTACACCCGAGGATTCCCCACGAATGGGGTGTACACACTTAAACTCCAAATGGAGAGCGCTAATCTTTCGAGTACAACTGATGAGTCTCGAGTACAACTGATGAGTCTCGAGTACAACTGGAATGGAGGAAACCAAGTATCGGCTCGCAATGCACTTGGCTTCCCTGTAGCTACTTTAACAGGGACACACAGAAGCAACGGCGGTTCAGGGAGGGGACCAAAAGGACCTTAAATCACTTCTGCAGGTACGTTTGCACAGCAAACTGGATGGGTCTTCGTTGGCCCGCGCCATCCAGTTGCTCGCGGGCCCCCTGCTTCCAAAACCGGCACAAGGTGGTGACAGGGTATTCTGTCACTCCGCACACACACACAATAAAAAAGAAAAAGAAAAACGGTTCCCGTTTTGCAAACAAATCCCCGTGCAACCCGAAATGTTTTTTTTGTCCACTTCTCGAGAGCGGTTCAACGCCATAAGAGGAACTGTCGTCTTTGGCCTCCTCCAGAAGGCGATCCACGCACTCCTGGCCATCGCGTCAACTTGCGCGGTGCTTCAACCTGGAGTCTCCGGATCTGCCCGAATCAAAACTTGGTGACCAACCATTGATCAAGCTGGGGGTCACCTACCTGGAGTCTCCCTAAGGACCCTTAAGAAATGGTTGGTCATGACCCGAAAAATAACGGGGTGGACTCATTGTTAAAGGGTGAGAAGGAGACTCCAGGAAGAAGTCAGGCTCTCTTCCTCAGCAAACCAAAGTTAGTTTCGCGTTCGGGTTCATATTCAGCAAACCTCTCGACACAGGTCCCAGTGTTCCCGTTTGAAATCAACCAGTCCATGTTGATCGCTTGCATCAACGCTAGCGAGGCGGATATACGCCTGCTTACTTCAAGCTCCTTGTGCTGCCTAGCTTTTGGCTCCACCACCTGCCCAGCCTTTGACTCAAAAAAACACAAAACCGAGGAAAGAACCGACCGCCCCCCAGAAAAATCGCCGGGCTGTTCCTGGCGTGCGTCCACAAAGACCAGCTTCTCCCAGGTTGAGCGATTTGCCTCTGTGAGGACCTGCAGGAGTCAAGGCGTTGGGAATCTCAGCCTTTCAATTTCTGATACAATGATTTCTTCCTGGAGTCTCCTTCTGACCCTTTTTAAACATGGGTCCACTCCGTTATTTTTCGGGTGACGACCAACCATTTTTTAGGGTCAGAAGGAGACTCCAGGTTCTTCAGTGCTTGCGCTGTACTTGAAACGGCGCACCAGTGCTCCCCTGTAAAAAAACAGACTAGTGATTCAATCAACAAACAGCTTGCGATCGGTGCGAGAGATGCTGGGAATGAGAAATGGAAGGACCCTGGAAGGACCCGGAGAAAACCATCTATCTCTTGTGGTTTCCTTTAAGGGGACCAAAGCCTGGGTGCATGTCCACATTCCCCACTGAGCACCAGCAGGAAAACTTATCTGATATTGTTGCTGTTTGGTGAATGTTGTCATTTGTTTGTCTGAGCGTTTTTCTCTGCTACTCCCACGACCTTGTCGGCAAGTTGCACCAACATCATTGCACACAACAAGCATCACCAGAAGCACCACTAGCAGCATCAGCGATCTGTTGACTTGAGCTTTGGAAGGTCCGCTTCGGGAGAATTGAAGTCTTATAGGGCGCGTTGTAGGGTCGATGTTTCCTGCAAGCAGTCGCGCCCGCACCATCAGTTCATGGCAATAGTAAGGTAAGGTTTGGGTCGGGTCTGGGCGCAGGGTTGGCTTCGCTGGCCGAGGTGCGGTGCTTGAACGCACCATGTTGGCGACCGGCATTAGCGCAAGAACGGCTATTCCTAGATCTGGCCAAAGTCTAACTTTTAGTGGCCATCCTGAACAACACCGTCGATGCTGTCAGAACGATCCATTGGGCCATGCAAATGCCCGTTCCAGCATCAGGGTGTTCCTGCACTTGTTTCGACTGCCTGCCGCATCTCATGTTGGCACCTGCGTACATGGGCGAGCACATGGCTGCTCAGAGAGAAATAAGGGAAGTCAGAAACAAATCAAGACAATGGAAGTCAACATGGTTGGCCAAGTAAAGCTCAGAGCACACCGTCGGCTCCAAACCACCAATCAAAACTACCAATCGGGGAGGGGAAGCTGAGTTTAGAGGTTCAGAGCAATTCTTGTACGCACAGACTGGGCATCCAGCCGCTTCTACTGCGCAGCGCGCAGCTAGGTCAATGGGAAACTGCCTCAGATCATTTTCACTTGAGAGAAGCCTCCATTTTGAGTCCAGCACCTCTTGCGTGTGCGGATGCTGTTTGGGCGGCTGAGGGTGTCCAGAAACTGGGGAAGTGAGGTTGTCAAACGGTGTTCGCAGCTTTGCCGAAGATGTATCCCCGTGGAGGGGTCAACATGGCGGGTCGAGCCATGGTGTCGGGGATTGACACATATGCTCCGTATGTGGTGCCTCCCGGCAACGAAAGCGGCTGTATTCTTCCAGAGCAGGTAACTAACCAAGATATACAAGGGGTGACAAGCTGACCACTTGTTTTCAGAATCCTTTGTTCCCCCACCCCCTTATGCTTCCCCCTGACGAAAACGAGGTCGCAACAGATTTGTGCCCAAAGACGACACAAGGGGCTTCAAGGTGTTCTTGCCAAAACCAACCTCACCCATAACACACTGCTATTCACCTACCCTTCATATGCATATGCCTCAATGTGGGTAAGGATTAACCTTAAGCAACAACTTGCTGAAATAACTTGCATGCCAGCCTTTGCAGAAGTCACCACAAAGCACATGAAGAAACATCTAAGTCACTGCTCTATAGCATTCATAGCGTCTCGCAGAAGGCGCAGCCAATCGAACCAAACCTCTCGCCTTTCATGAATCTTCCCGTTTCAGATTTCTCCAGAAAATATGGCCATGGGTCAAGAAGTCCGGTGAGCCCCCAGTGAACATCAACCAATCCAACCACTCAACTAGGACGCCTAAAAGGGGTGGTGAATTCACCGAAAACCCCCAAAATGGTTGATCCCAAAACGGTTTTGACAACCACAGCCAAATGAACATGATTCTCCAAGTCAGGGGAGCAGTTGGGCGGTTGAAGGTGCAAGTGGCTGGTTCACCCGACCATTGCATGGGTGGCTCGTCCTCTGTTAGCTTGGACCCTCCAAAATGGTTTCGGTTTTCCTCTGGGTTTCCCTTTAAAACCAACAACAGATACCTCGAACAAAGACAGAAGCATCATGTCAAACTTGTCCCAGTTTCAACCCTGTTCCTGTGAGGCAAGCACTAAATTGGGACACATGAACTTGCCAGAGCGTGATTGTGCAAATCCGGCCAGCCATGTGGGTAAAAAAATAAGTGTCTGAACCATCTCAACAGTGGTTGGACATGAATCCCCCCTGAATTATGATGTCCAGCAAGGCTCTGGGACACACTAAACCCACATCTACCTGGAGTCTCCATGACCCTTCAAAAATGGGGGGTCATTACCTAAAATAATGGGGTCATGAACCCATCTTTTAAGGGTCAGAAGGAGACTCCAGGAACTTTGGGCGTTTCTCAAAATGAGTTGGGCCTCTCAGGTTGGATGCTCTGTAGTTTCTCTAGCCCATCTCGAAAAGAGACCCAGGCTCCAACGGGTCTCTCAAACAAATCACATCCTCCCAGGTCCCTCCATCCCGAAAGTGTACAAAAGTGTACCAAAAGATCAATTCAAACTTCATGCCCAGCGTCCGAATCGAATCACCAAAGTTCCTGGAGTCTCCTTCTGAGCCTTTCAAAATGGGTCCATGACCCCACGATTTTGGGTCATGTCCAGGTATATGTTGGTCTGAAAACATGGGAACCCCAAACTCAATGGGTTTCCTGTTGGTTTCCTTTTAAACATATGCAAGAAAGGGGCGCGGTGACTCCAGGCAGCGCCACGTCCAGGGCCAAGTTGCTTAGCCCCGGCGCCCAGAAGCGGCGAGCAAATGCTGCGCCTGAGACATGTCAAACGTGTGGTGGGAGTTGTTTGGAGCAGCCAGACCCCTCCCTGAAAACAACGAAAAGGTTGCACAGTTGAACATGTTGAAACAGTTGCACCATGTTCAAACATGTTCAAACAGTTCCAGGTTGCGCGTGGTTCTTCAAAACAATTGAACATCTTCAAACAAGGCAAGAACCCCGCCCAGGGCCCTTGCTAAGCAGCGTGCCACTCTGAAAAAAACTGGGCATGTCAACCAAGAGCCCGGATCCGTTGCAAAAACAGCGAATCACACAAGGCGAAAGGCTTGCAAAGGAACGGACATCGGTCCCAGACGGTCATGCGATGTGCGATCGAAAAAAACACAACATCCCCTAAAGCCAGGCAATAACAGAACGCTGAATCCCTGTTCGTACACACTCCAAGAGCTGGATTGTGCCTACTCCAGCGGATGTGATGTTTATAACTCAGCTTAATATGCAATACAATGCGCGAAGAAAAGGTGAAAAGATGATTCAACAAATCTCGACAGGAATGTTGACATCGCGTACCATGGGCCTTCAAGCATATGCCGAGCACACACATCACTTGAGGGTTGCTTCGCTTCGGGGTGAGGCACCAGTACTACCATACAATTCATTCATGTGAGCCCCGGACAATGCTGTGAGTGCACGAAATCCATTTCGCACCACTTAGGATAGATGAAACCCTATCAATAATAGAGAAACCACCTGCCAACTGGTGGGAAATGGAGTTTGTTCATCCACAGAATGGCTTGTCCCCCAAGAGGACATATGGGAAAATGGGAGTGGGCAAAGGGGAATCTGGATGCACGCAAGTCGTCCAACAACTTTCTTAGTTGCTCGGTGTTTGAGTTTGCTTGAAAGGGTATTCCTTTTGATGACCCCGGTAAATGGAATGAAGCCAATCCAAACCAGCGAAACCCATCTGTTTCTAACCAAACCAACGTAAAAAAGAAAAAAGACACGAATGGTATTCTTATTCTCAAGTGCACAAGTTCCGGCTGTTCACGACCCTGGATTATATTCCCAACCGAAACCAACGGGGGGAGCAAACACATGCAAGAAACTTTGGGGCTCGAGGTGTTGGCAACCGGAAAAAAAGAAAACCACTAACACAACGTCATCTTCACAGGGCTATGAGCCACCGCAATGATACTTGAGATGGATATCAGGATCCCTCGGCAAATGGGGGGTGGCGTGGAATGCCCTTCCAGAATGGAAGCAAAACGGATCGCCAACTCTAAGGCTCCGGTATGAAATGAGGACCTTTTCATGCCTGTTCAAATAAACAGCTGTGGTTTCAACAACCTCCCTCGGAACCCTCAAATCATCTCCCTTGGAAATAAACCCAAAGAAGAGGTCAAGGGAACCATTGCAAACTTGACTTGGCGCAACCATCTGCTAATGTTGCCTTTCTGCTCCCCTGCTAAAAGTTTTAACTTTTAGTGGTTTAATGGAAAACCCATTATAGTTGGCAACGAGTTAAAGTCCTAACATTCAAGCAAAATGCACCAAAGGTTTCTTTCATTCCAATCGCTGAATTGAGAATTGGATCCCCCTTTGTACAGAACCTTTGGCGAGCGAGCTCGTAGCCCTGGTTCTCGGTGAATTAAAATCAAAAATGGCAGAACCCTTTGCCAGAGGGTCCTTGGTACCCTCTGAGGAGGTACTGAACGACCCCTTTTTACCCAGCAGCCATCCTCAGGAGGTGTACTTAGACCCCTTTTTACCCCCAGCCATCCTTAGGTACCAAGGGATCTGGGTTTGCCAACTCCCTCGTTCCCTTGCCAAGGCTCCCAGATCCGCGAGCCACTTTGAAGGCCGAGCTGTACGCCTGAAGCGACGCGAATGGGATCCGTCCAGTTCGCATTGGGATCCTTGGTCCCCCAAAAAAGGGCAGCCTGGTGAATGGCACCCTGGTGAAGGGAAAGACCCAAACCTGCCGGTTTGCCCCAGCTTGGCGAAAATTTGAGCCACACCCAAATGACCTAGCCGTTTCCTTGGTTGCAGTAACGACCCGTCTAAAAAGTGTTTTCACTTTGTGTGGGTCCAATTCAGAAAATCCCAACTGTTTCAACAAACAAGTTAAAGTCCATAGATTCAGCCAAATAGCCATAAAGGATGGATGAAGCCCTACAAATGCCAACCGGTACAGGATTTCGAAAATCCTTACACACTCCAGGGCGATATTTCCCCCAAAGGAACATAGCCCCAACAGGAAAGAAAAGAACTGCTGGCAACCAAAGATGATGTTTAAATCGACGAAAATCGTGACTAGAATCGTCAGATCGAGTTGCCTTGAAGTGACTCAGTGAAAGTCATTTTTTCCAGTGAGATCGCTATGGTTTGCATTGACCCGCCCAGTGGATCCCAGCTATAGTAGCTATCCTGCCATTGGTGGTTGCCTTGGTTACCCATATAGGTAAATGGATCGATCGGAAAGACTCAAAGAAATACAGATTCAGGATTTGTTCCGAGAGGCCACTGGATTTGCTCGAACGCTGGCCCGAACAAAAAGAATCAGCTTGGACTAAACTGGGCTGCCCTCAGATCCCCTGCTACAAGTTTAACTTTAAGTGCCCCCATGACTATGGTCCGTTACGTGGCCGGTGGTAGTACCACGAACCACGAACGCGTGTGCAGATTAAATTATACGACAATGCCCCAAGTGCGATAGACAACTTTTAGTGGTTTACGTGGAAATCCCCACTAAACCCTGAAAAGCTAAGAGGCTAAGGAACCGGATGGCTGGGAGCCACCAAGATTGAAGGGAAGCCAAAGGAAAGCCAAAGGGAGGTGCCCCTTGACGTCATTATTTTAACATGGACCAGCTAGGTCCTTCAGTAGAGAGGTTCGAAGAAGTTGGTACCATATATATTTTCGGTTTTGTCTATATTAGTAGGGGAACCCTCCCACCCAAAAAAGGGGCGAGAAAGGGCACGATCCTGGGGGACCTGGCCAGGTAAGACGGCAAACATGAAGCAAACAACCAACAACAATGAAACAGGAACAGAACAACGAGATGAAACCACTGCATGAGCCAAGACTACCTGAACCAACCCTCATTAAAAACACGACGTGGGGTGTGAATGTCAATGGAGGGCACTTTAGTGGACACTATTTTCGTGGGGAAATTGATGCCCACCAAGCAGCCACTTGGCCATGGGTCAACATCCCGGTTACCCCCCAGTGAACATCCCAATCCACACTAAAAATAGGTTCTAACATGGGTGGTGAATTCACCTACCCCAAAATGGTATCCCAGTGGTTTTGACCCACCAGCCACTTGAACCAAGAACAGTCGAACCCCCCCTGACCTCCATTTGCTTAAGTCCCCTGGGACAAAAACTGAGAACATATGTCCAGTAGTGAAATCGATTCCCTTTAAAACCAACCGGGAAAAACAACAACATGCTCAACCAAGTGGAAGTGACTGCATCCACTTCCCAACCGGCCTGTGTGAGCAGCTTCAGGCGACGCTGCTGCTCCTCTTGGTCGAGATCTCCTGCCTGAACCAAACAAACAGCAGGAGCCAAGGGGGTCGTCTTTTGGCCAGTTGTTTGAACAGAACCAATGCCAGTGCGTCCAAACAAGCCACTAGGTATCCAGAGATATTATGATATATGGCTGTGTGTCAAAACCGTTTTGGGATCCCATTTTGGGGTAGGTGAAATCACCACCCATTTTAGTCTGTTTTGGTGGGGATTGGGATGTTCACTGGGGGGGGAAAGGGCTTTTGACCCATGGTCATATATTTACTTCTGGGTTTTGCATGATAGGCACCAGCTTGGAAGGGAATCTCTCACGGGTTCCAACAGATTTCAGGAACAGCTGAGAATCAACACCTCCATTTGCTTAAGTCCCCTGACAAAAAAAAACAGTAGTGCTAGATTCCCTTTAAAACCAACCAGGGAAAAAAAGAAGAAGAAACAAAATATTCTTAGCCAAATAGAAGAACACCTGGGGTCTGCCTCCAGTTTGGCTTGGATTGCTCTGGGTGCACCACTTTTGGCTTTCGGCCGGACCTGCTGAAGGGGTTGGCGCTTGGTCTACTGTTTACCCTGTCAAGTCGCTGAAAGGAAAACATGGCACGTACCCTCCGCATGTGCTCCGTTACAACACTGACGTTCTTGGGAAGACTTTGCAGCCACTGAGGGCTCACGACGAAGACTCTTAGCTGTTTTTACACATCGGCTTGCTGTTTGTTCATTTGTGCAGAAACAGCACATGTTCCCTTGTCATTCTCCAGCAAGGCGCAAGCCCATGAAATGCGCTATCTTCCAGATTCTCCTTGAACGAAACCTCTGGATCCCGCTTGAAACCGCCCACGACGGCGCCCGGACCCCCGGGCCCACATGGGGGCCACCGCATGCGCCAGGTACCGGCAGGTACCGGCCTGGCATTCCGACGACATGCGCCAGGTTTGGATGAAACGGAAATTCGGCTTGGTCATGCCTTTTTTTTGGGGGGCCTCCCCCCAAAATGGGGTGGTTTTCCTTGTGCCCTAAGGGTCCCGATTGATTTTGGGGCCTCAAAATGGGTTGTTTTTGAGGGCCCATGAGGGGTCGGGGTTCTCCATTGGAGGGTCCTGGAGTCTGCATTGGAGGGGTCATCCCTTAGGGCGGTTTACCAATTTTGAACCTCAAACAAGGGGCAGACTCAAAAAACAACTAACATTTACAAACCATAGGCGAGGATAGGTTGGTCAAACTCGGATGTAGGCCGGGATAGAACCGTCCTATATATATATATATAAAACATAAGCCAGAAGTAGGGGTCCAAGTCTGAAGTTGTGTTGGCTGGCTGTTTGGGCGGGGATCTGTTGGATAAGTTAAAACATATTGGGCGACAAGACACGCAAGAGCAAGGCATTTCGCTCCACCACACCAATCCAAGATACCAATTAAGAGTATAATGTGACAAAACAAAGCTGTTAGTGTCCTTTGTACACGGGGGGTCACTGCTCTTGTTTAAAGCATATGAATTTTTTTCCAGCGGGCCTCGAACCACTCTTGTTTCAACCCCCATCCTTTTGGCTTCAACCGCAGCCTTTCTGTCTTTCTGGCCCCCTCTCAACTGTTTGGACCCCATTCTTTGCAGTCGTACTCCCAAAAGTCCTTGTGGGCCCCTTTGCACAGCGGTCAAGGTTTGGTTATTTAACACATGAGCCATGGTCAAAATGACTTGCTCCCCTTGAAAGCCCTGAAAAACAATAACATATTTCCAGTAGTGATAGATTCCCTTTGAAATCAACAAGGGAAACTAAACATAAACATATCCTGAGCAACTTCGGCTTGTCCCCTGTCCTTTTGTGGCCGGAAATTCAGTTCGAGTCCACCCGCCGCAACATCGACCAGACCTCTGCACCAAAAAAAAATTCTTCGAACACCCACCAGCCCGGCTGACCAGGTCGCTCTTCTCCGGCACCTCACGGGGCTCGGAACCCGAAGAGGCGAGACGGGTGCCGAGACGGGAGCCCAAAGAAGCCCACCCCACCCGAAAAAGCCAAGAGGGGAACGCCCTGGAGTCTCCTTCTGACCCGAATCAAAAATGGAAGCTCATGACCAACCATGATTTTGGGCAATGACCAACCATGTTTGATTCGGGTCAGAAGGAGACTCCAGGTAAGTGTTGAAACTGCGAGGCCCCAACATGCCACTTGTGGGGTGCAACTAGTTTACATACATGCCGCAACAGTGATTGATGGTGAAAACCAAAAGTTGGGCCACCCAAATAGGTTCTAAAATGGGTGGTGCAACTACCCCAAATGGGATCCCATTGGTTTTGACCCTCAGCCAAATGAAAACGGCGAAGACATGCCGTCTTTGTTGTCGGAGGACGAGGGGACACACGCAAACTTAAGCCATCAAGCCCTCCAAGGTTGTGTGTATGTGTGTGTGTGTGTATGTGTGTGTGTGTGTGTGTCTGTGTCTGTGTGTCTGTGTGTCTGTGTGTCTGTGTGTCTGTGTGTCTGTGTGTCTGTGTGTCTGTGTGTCTGTGTGTCTGTGTGTCTGTGTGTCTGTGTGTCTGTGTGTCTGTGTGTCTGTGTGTCTGTGTGTGTCTGTGTCTGTGTCTGTGTCTGTGTCTGTGTCTGTGTCTGTGTCTGTGTCTGTGTCTGTGTCTGTGTCTGTGTGTCTGTGTGTGTGTGTGTGTGTGTGTCTGTGTCTGTGTCTGTGTCTGTGTCTGTGTCTGTGTCTGTGTCTGTGTCTGTGTGTGTGTGTGTGTGTGTGTGTGTGTGTGTGTCTGTGTGTGTGTGTGTCTGTGTGTGTCTGTGTGTGTCTGTGTGTGTGTGTGTGTCTGTGTGTGTGTGTGTCTGTGTGTGTCTGTGTGTGTCTGTGTGTGTCTGTGTGTGTCTGTGTGTGTCTGTGTGTGTGTGTGTGTGTGTGTGTGTGTGTGTGTGTGTGTGTGTGTGTGTGTGTGTGTGTGTGTGTGTGTGTGTGTGTGTGTGTGTTTTGTTGTGTGTTTGTGTGTTTGTGTGTTTGTGCTTTTGTGTTTTTGTGTTTTTGTGTTTGTGTGTTTGTGTGTTTGTGTTTTTGTGTTTTTGTGTTTTCGTGTTTTTGTGTTTTTTGTGTTTGTGTTCGTGTTCGTGTTCGTGTTGGTGTGCGTGTGCGTGTTCGTGTTCGTGTTTGTGTTTGTGGTTGTGTTTGTGTTTGTGTTTGTGGTTGTGTATGTGTGTGTGGGGTTCTTTACCCGTTCAAAAGGACATGCCCCAATAGCCAGCACCCGCGCCTATGTTGGACAGTACTTGGGATGTTGGAGATGGAAGAAGCAGTAGTTGGGGCGGTTCTGGCCGAGGCAGGTGCCCCAGATGTGTTGGGAAAGGTACCCGGGATCTATGATTGGGCCGGTCGTTCGCTGGGCTCAGTAAATGGTTTCAAGCGAGGGGTCTCACAACCAGTGAAACCGAACTCCTGAAAAAGTGGAGACAAAACAGTCACTTTCTGCACTATGGACTGAGAACTCATAAAGCATCGCTTCGGATTCGAAACAATAAGACCTGAGTGTCCACAGGGAAAACCAAGGTTCAGCTTTTGAAGCCATGACGACGAAAGGAAAAAAGCCAAAAGGTTAAACATATCCATTCGTTTGGGAACGAAAACCCTCAACCTGGAGTCTCCTTCTGACCCTTCAAAAATGCGTCCATGACCCCCATTATTTTGGGGAATGACCCCATTTTTTAAAGGTCAGATGGAGACTCCAGAAATGTGCAGGGGGGGGCACCCCTTTCCTCCCACCAAAAGCGCGAAGATCAGTTTCCTCGGAAGCTCCCGGCCTCGGTGAGCCGCGCTTTGCCGATCTCACATCGCTGGGTGTAGGCGCCTCATTTGCGGTTCGGTTTCCCTCCGAAAACCCACCCACCTGGAGTCTCCTTCTGACCTTTAAAAAATGGTTGGTCATTCCCCAAAATCATGGGGTCGTGAACCCATTTTTTAAAGGGTCATGGAGACTCCAGGGTGTTCCCCTCCTCCTCAAGGCTTTTGAAGTGAAAAAGTATTGGCCCCAAGAGATGCGCGCAATGGCGAAATGTCCCGACCCACCAGGGCTCCTTTCTAGGTCCATTTCAAACACCACCCTGCCCAGATGAATGTCTCTGTCTGCTGAGGGTCCCTTTCTTGGATGGGTTTAAAAGAAAACCAACAGGAAACCCATGGAGTTCCGGGATCCCATGTTTCAGACCAACATATACCTGGAGTCTCCATCTGACCCTTAAAAAATGGTTGGTCATGTCATGGACCCATGTTTAAAGGGTCAGAAGGAGACTCCCTCGGGTCCAAGTACCTCCTGAGGATGGCTTCTGGGGGGTAAGAGGGGTCTAAGTACCTCCTTAGGGTACTTGGACCCTCTGGGTCCAGGTACTTTGAAACTGCCGAGGTGAAGGTTTCAAACTCAGAGTCAGAAGCCTCGGCCGAACCGCTAGGCCCCTGTCTTGGGAAGGGCGCGTCCGGATCATCGTTGGGCGGCCTGAAGCGTAAGGCGGTTGAAGCTCTGAGCCAGGTAGCTGGAACAAAACGCTGGGGCTGAGGAAACAGTTCTGGCACGGCACGGAGACACCAGCATTTGAGCAGCATTGCCTTCTGAAGCCCTGCCGAAAATCACCAAACTGATCCAGGGAATGCTGCCTACATTCTGGTCGACCAGGCCCACCGAATGTGACATGTGAGTGAATCAAGAAACAAACCAAACACAGAAGGTTTTCTAGGCTAGTCCGCGCACTCCAACCTAAGCTTTTACACTAAAGGTGACTATGTTAGTTCTCCCGCCAGCTCAAATTCTAGTCCGCATTTGTTCCTCAACCTTCAACCAAAAAGTAGGCCAAGTCAACAAAAAGAGTCCCGTTTTCCTTCTGGAAAATGAGGTACCTGGAGTCTCCACCCTTCAAAAATGGTTGGTCATTACCCCAAAAATACTGGTTGGTCATGAACTTCCATTTTGTAAGGGTCAGAAGGAGACTCCAGGTACATATCCAACCACCTGGACCACAAACAAACGGTCGAGACCCGGGAAACCGCCCCTAGCCGCGGCTTCTCCGAGCGCGGCTTCTCCGAGCGCGGCTTTAAAGCCAAGCCACAGCTCGGGCAGCCGTCGGCAAAGCCGGCCTGTGAAGCGCCGAGTTTCTGGTCTCCCGACCTGAACGTGACCTCAAACGAGGCGGAACTTCTATAAAAAACAAATCTATCTGGGCAAATTTAATGTGTTTTTTTCCTCGCAGGTTACAAAGCCCTGACGTCGCTGTGAATTGCCCAGGACGAATGCCAAGTTCTAACTGGAACAGTAACATGGATCAGCCACACCACGATTGGTTGAGCTTCGGACGACCAGAACTTAGCTGTTCTGATTCCAACGACTGCAGGATAGACAGGAGTCAAACAAAAGTGACCTCTCAAAAATGACAACCAGCAGGTTCACAGATGATGTTAACCTGGGTACTTCACGGGATTCAACGCATTGGGTTGCAGGATATCCTCCACTATGCTTGGTTTCAGCTGATGTCGGTCTGATGGAATATCCATGTTTTCGAGCTCTCCATATTTGTAAATGCCTTGAAAGAAAGCCACCATGGGAAGATTGTTCGTGTTGCAGATCTCCCCAATTTGGCAGCGGATCCCTTTTCAAGCCAACAATATGTACCAAAGATCCGCTTCCCTCTAACTGTTTTTTTTGGATTGGTTTAGCGGTGAGGTTGAATTCCCATTAACGCTCTACAAGAACCAGGGCTTGAAATCCAGATCCACACCGATCCAAGCCGCCAACGATGTATACATATATACAAGGATTCCCTGAAAAGATAGCCAGCAAATGTGTTCGAGGAGCCCACATCCTTTTCATGCGTTTGAGGGCGGCATCGTTTTCCCCAAAAGAACGGGCTCCCCTAAGGGTCATGATTCCTCCAACGCAGACTCCAGGACCCATGGAGAACCCCGACCCCTCATCTCAAAAACAACATGTCGAGGCCCCAAAAAAATCAAAAATCAAATCGGGACCCGCAGGGTCCCGAAAAAATCCCCAAATCCTCCCTGCCTGGCGTCAAATCCCCCCCCTGGCGTCAACCCTGGCCCCGAGAGACGGTAAGTTCAACACTATCAGACCCACGATGGCCAGCTGCGCCAAGCTTTGCCGAAGACAGCAGGCCCAGAAATAAACCGTTTCCTGGAGTCTCCGGATCTGACCCGAATCAAAATGGTTGGTCATTATCCCAAAATCATGGGGTCATGAACCCATTTTTAGATGGGTCATGGAGTTATGGAGACTCCAGGTACCAGTGTCCCAACTCGCCGAAAGAATAGTGTGCCAAAATGGTTGTGCCATTTTGCAACTTTCTGGACCCCCAGTTTCGGCAACAGAAGCTTACCATGTTCCAACTCTGCCGAAAGCATAGTTACACGGATAACCAGGGCTGTGGGAACTGACCACTTCCGCGATACGACGAAAAGGGCCTAACCCCAAAGACTAACCCCCCATAAAAGGGAGAGATTCCTGAAGATATGACAGAAGTGGTTGGATAAACCCCTTGTGATCCCACAACCCTGCAGACCAATTCTGCCATATGTCTGTGGGCTCAAAAACAGGTACCAAAATGGCACCTGGGTAAATGGAACCAACGACCAAAACCTGAACCTTAGTTCTTGAAGTTTGAGCCACCTGGAGTCTCCTTCTGACCCTTCAAAAATGGTTGCTCGTTCCCCAAAATAATGGGGTCATGGACTCATTTTTTAAAGGGTCAGAAGGAGACTCCAGGCACACATTCAGTCGCCCCCCCCCCAACCCCCCCCCCCACAAAAAAAAGAAGAAGAGCAGAATGGCATCGGCTGTTCCGGTGTGTTTTCCTTTGAAGCCACCAAAACAGGGGTACCCATCCAAGGATGTTTGTTCCTAAATATGTTGAACCTTTGGGTTTTCCCTTTGGTTGTCAGGGCGCCATCTGGTTTCCCGTTGGCTTTCCCCTCGGCTTTTGCCACGCCGACTCTGGCTCTGAGTGCCCCGTGCTCAGCTCAGGCCCGCCAGCGATGTGCAAACGCCCGTCGACCTCGCAGGCTGAAAGCTCGGACCGATTTGGCGGCTCTCGATTGGAAGTTGCGGTTACAAAAGCCGAGGCGACCAGCGGATCGTTACTCTCATATGTATATGTATATATATATATATGTATATCTTGGGTGTGTCTTTTTGTGGTCCAGGTGGTCGGATGTATACCTGGAGTCTCCGGATCTGATGCTTGAAAAGAATAGGCTCATGACCAACCATGATTTTGGGTCATGACCAACCATTTTTGATTCGGGTCAGAAGGAGACTCCAGGTATATTGTGGTTCTCCTTTTGGCTTCCCTTTAAAACCCACCAAGAACAAGACAGACTCATATATACATACAAGACCTAAATGATAAGAACGCGGCTTGGGGTACGTCAAAACAAAGCATAGAAATGATTGGAGTAAATATGCAGCCTCTTGCCAATCGAGGTTTCAGCTTAAATGGGGCTCCATCCTGACCATTCAAACCAAACTGGAAAGACGTCTGCAAAAGAAAGGAAGCCTTCGCCGGGAAACCTATGGCGGTGCCAAAAAAACATGAGCCCTCCATTGGAGGGTGTGAGCTATGGCGTGAGTTGCAAACATCTTCACACAAAACCTGCAAGTATCTCCATGGTGAGATCCAGCACAAGAGATACGGGCATGTGTCAAACGGGGGAACCTTTTAATTGGTGCTTTTCTTTTGCTTCCCTTTGAAACCTACCCTCAACAAACACAAACCCTGATGGGTATGGTCTATGTCCCGTCCTGTTGGCGCAAAATGCAAGTGGATTCCTGAATGACGATTTACATACACAACACTCACAACGGGCGCCGATAGGACAATTTTTCACGCTAGAGCTGCAAGATCGAAAGGAACATGAGCAAATGAGGCCGTTTGCAAAAGGGGTACTGGTACAACATGTGGCGTCCAAACGAAGCTGAGAAAACCCACCCTCGCTTGTCTGGCTTGGTTCAAAGGACTAAGAGATGCAGCTTTTTCGGTCTGCTTCATTGGACACTTGGACACGTGGCGCTAGCGCATGTTCACCAGGGCACGACCCACAACGACAAGTCTGCAGGCCCTAGCCCTGATGCTGACCTGAGCTAACTGGCCAGGGCGAGTCTGAGTCTGAACATTTTGGCGCTGGAATGGGTGTTTCTCAAGCTGGTTCCCCAATGAATAGTTGGTTTTCCTGTTGGACTGCAGCCAGGCCAAATGGGGAACCTATTTTGAGAACTCCCCCCAACTGCAGAAACCCGGCAACAAGTTGCAAGTGTGGAGCCAAGGACGCCCTCCTCCGAGCCTCTCTCTGCATTTCTTGCTCCACCCAATGCGAGTCCTCTTGCCACCTTCTGTTTGTGACAAGGCTGGCATGACTCCAGAGTTGAACCATTGCTGCGCGTGCAACCCACCATTCCGCGTATGTCTCTGAGTCGAAACAACAACCAGTCTTCTCTCATCTTTGCCGGGATTGCAACAAAAAGCCGCCCAAATCATGCGACGCCATTCTCCCCAAGGCGCCACATCTTCTTGGTAGAAGACCCCGCTCTCGCACTCGGCGCCTCAAAGCGAACAAAAAACATCGGCGAGCGATTTGAGGCGGATCTTGAAGCCCAGGCCTTCACAGGCTTTTCGGAGATTGGCCCAGACCAGGTGCCTGGAGTCTCCGGATCTGACCTTGTAAAAATGGGTTTATGACCAATGACCAACCATTTTTGAAGGGTCAGTTTATGACCAACCATTATTTTGGGTCATGACCAACCATTTTTGAAGGGTCATGGAGACTCCAGGTATGGGGCTATGACCAAGCCGATGTTGAACAAGGAAGTTGCTCGTTTCATCCTCCTGAACAAGCACAACATTCCTGTGATCCTAGCCATTCAAGTCACATCCCCACAATGACCCTCTCAATCCTATGTTAAAGGGGAAACAATCCGGCAGTTGCTTCCCGAAACAGGATACCTCGAGTTGAGAGATGCCGAGCAAAAGCATGATTGATGGCCTTAGCGGTAGACTGCTCCATGCATTAGCTTGACTCAAAACTAAGGATTTCAGCGTTGGTGCTTCCATAAATCTCCCAGATGGTAAGTCTTTAATGAATGAGAAAACCCACAAGAAGGGCAGTTTCCCTGTAAAACAAACCCACAAGGTACCCTCCATTGAAACGACAAACCCAGAGTCTGAGCCTTCGGCCGATCGGGAAGTATGGAAAGAGCCTGGGAGTGCGGGAGCGAGCAACCTGGAAAACTCGAGCGAGCCGTGAGGCAATGCTCCCATGGAATCTAGGAACTGTCCAGGAGAATCGTTTCTCAAATTCAAGAACTCCAGCCAGGTGATTGATATTGCATATCCTCTCACTTTCAAATCACTGAGAAGTTGTCAGGAAGCTGCAGCGTCATTTTCTGAACAACTCGCGTCCTTGCCACCTTGCACACAACCTAGACGACAACCCTATATTATGTTGAGACAGATATACGCACACATACTACACATACAAATGCACACATACACACAGGCCAAGCCCCCTCATGCCCCAGTGGCCGTTGGGCAAAGGCGGAAGGCGCCTGATCACTTTTTCTTGAATGGGACCTTTATCATGGTTTGCCACAATCCCTCCCTCACATGGCCATGGGTCAAATCCAAAGCGTACCCCCAGTGAACATCCCAATCCCCACTAAAAAAGACTAAAATGGGTGGTGCACCTACCCCAAAATGGTACCATTGGTTTTGACCCACAGCCACATGAATAGGTCTTGTGACTGCACAAATTGGGCAAAGCTGGTGACAATGGAGGTCCGCCATCGAACGAGAACTCTCGCGCCGCTTCCAGCGAAAACCCCTCAGTGCCGCTCGGACCCTCGAGAGTCTCGTTGGCGGAGTTGATGATGACATCGTATGTGCCTCACAAGGTTCCAACGCGGCCACTGCCTAAACCAAGCATTGATTATAGCTCTTTCTCAACACGAGACGCACCTATACTCGAACAAACCGTACGGGATTGCGTAGAAGAGCAAGCTAGCTACAAGAGCCGTGAGTCTGCAAAACTAGGCCCATTACAACAGGACAACCGACATGAAACCAATCATCAGAGGAATAAGACGAGGGTGCCTAAGCTTGTTTTGCCACATTCGCATTTAGTGGGCACTCCTGCCAAACTAGTGAATCTGGTTCAGCATCTCTCGATGTCAACCCTCCTGGACAAACGAAATCCAACTACCGGCAGGTGGCCCAGATGGAGATGCCCCAAAGACAAACAAATAAGAATGCTTGTTTTGATGTACTGGAGATTCAGTGACCACCGCTTGAATCATAGCCAACAATTAAAGTGTCCCCTGCAGAGCTCACCTACACTTCAAACCTCACCCCAAGAGAATAGCCCAAAAGTAGGTCCCCTTACAACCTATGACCTTAAGCAAAACGGGCACTGTAGCCAAAAAAGACCACCTGAACCAAATGACAGGATGACGATGCTCCCCCCCTCAAAAGCCAGAACAACCAGAAGTCAACCCCAGTTACCTATAGACCCTGGTAGTCACAGTACGAAGCCCTGCCAGGACCATTTCTAGGGATTTCGGAACCAACGAAACAAGCATTGGTTTTGGCGTCCGAATCCTGCACAACCATCTAACCACAGTTCACGCGGTCATTCTGCTCAGGACCATGAAAATGGCTTTGAAATGGTTGCCATGAAATGCCTCCCCACATGGTTGCCAGAAAAATCCACTGAGCTGAACGCTCTTCAACCGAAGCATCGTCTTTTCTTCCTGCTTCCCGGCCTTCGCTCAGCAGGTCTCCGTGCCGCACCTAGCAAACATGGTGAAGGCCCCATGTTTTCCGTAAATTCCCTGATTCTACTGTGGGTGGTTGCGATATGCATGTCGCACCACCGTTCAGAAACCCTGGAATGAATTGATTTTTCTGTCGTTACCAATCAACTATGGTTTCAAAGTGGTGCCACAGCATGCAATTTGGCTTGATCTTCCCTACTCTTTGAGGGCCCAGAAAGGATTCCCTCCAAAAGCACCTTCTTCCAGGATCTGCCTGGAACGAACGAGTCATCTGCAGAAAGCTAAACCAACTTCTAGACATTTCCAGCTGGGACTCATCGGACAGCGCAAAAAAACAGGGCACAGCAGCGCTCATACCTCATTGAGGATGGCTTCTGGGGGGTAACACGGGGTCTAAGTACCTCCTTAAAGGGTACTTGGACCCTCTGGGACAGCTAGCAGGTGTGTTGTTTCCTTTGTATCTCTTTCAGGTTTGTTAGGATGTCAAAGGAAACAAACCACCCGACTCAGTGCGGTTTGAGCCGTTCCGATATAGCAACCTCAAGTTTCACCCCAGAGGCAACTCCATTCAATTATTGATCAGGCTAACGCACCTACATCTGTTCGTGGAATGCTTTTGGATTCTATTCTAGCCACTCCCTCTCAATCAGGATGCTTTGCCTTTTGATTCCCGGCAAGCAGGCATACCAAGCCAGGCATTGCCCTTTGATCGCCTGGCAAATGTTGGACTCTGACATGGTTGCCAACTTGCTTCTTTTCAATGGTCCAAGCAGAAGCTGGGTGCTTCCTAACAAGTAGGCCAACTGGTGGTGGCACAATGTGCATTAAAGGGCAAACAAAGAGCGAGCATGATTAGAGCTAGGCTCAGTTATAGAATGTATATTTTACTGTTTGCTTCACTTTGAGTCGCTGGTAAAATGTAAAATGTATCCTAAGTCTACCCCAGACCTTTGAGTTTGTGGGCGAACTCCCGAGTGGAGCAGGCCTTCCGGCAAAAGGGGGTGAACCTCGCGTCTTTGCCGGACTGAAACTTGTCCCCATGGAAAACGAGAGGGACAACGCTCACCCAAAGAACAAGAAGCTGGAGGCTACAATGGCTACGTGAGCTCTAGGCTCAGGTTCTGGGGTTGGACACTTTGAGGGAATCCTTCGAATGGATTTTCCACAAGGGAATCAGTCCATGGCCGAGAATGGGCGGTTTCCAGTCAGCTTCCCAACGCCAAGCAGAAGGGTGAAGGGTCAAAAATACGGAAAGCCCCAAAATGGAACCCTGGTAAATGGAAACAAGGACTCAAGCCGAAGCCGGTCTAGATTTGACCCACCATTTGAAATTCCAGCCTGTTGAGTAATTTCCGGCCTCGACAAGGGCGGGCACTCTGAAGACGCCTGAACGGCGGTCGGATGCTTTTTTTTGGTGTTTTTCTTTGCTGAGAGCTACGTCAATCCGATTTTGGCTCTTCCAACGCCTCTGAGAACTCCAACCGAACGTCGAATGCTGTGAGTCAAAATCCAAAACCCCGGTGGAAAAACGGTCGTAATCCCACCATGCTTCAAGAATTAAGAAGGCGGATGTCCGCAGCTATGTCTGGCTGGGATCGTCCCCTTACTAACCATCATCAACGTTTTGATTGTGGCTCAAGTGGTGGTCTGCATGCCTGCACGGGCATCGGTTCGTTTGGCCAGTCCTAAGGTCATTCCAGTCGTCACTCATCAGTGGCCCATGTGAAACCACCAAGTCAAGGCTGGATCCAACAACCTGGCGTCTCCATGACCCTGTCAAAATGAGTTTATGGCCCCAGTATTTTGGGTTATGACCCCATTTTTTAAGGGTCATGGAGACTCCAACAACATCATTTTCCTTTCAGGCGATTGAAGAGATGTTGGCACCAGGGCTAGTGCTCGCCAACGATCTTGGATCTTGAATGATTGCGTGGATTTCTGACCCATCCTTCAAGTTGGACAAACGAACAAGCAGGGATACAGAGGGAGCGAGGATTGGGGGGATTCCCTTGGCGCCATTTCCCATAAACTTAGTCAAGGTGCATCAAACGGGGGAATCCTCCCGTATCCAGCTGGTTCCCCCTAAATCCGTGTTAGTTGGTTTCCCTGATCAAGCCAGCTTCTTCCCAGCTCTTGTCATAAGCAATCGCTTCAGCTTCTCCAACCACCAATTTACGAAGACGGAACAACTCGTTCATCCTGAGCTCGTGTTGCATTTTTTACAGTTGGTTTAAAGGGAAACCAACAGAATCACCACCAAAGCTGGGGTGCCCCTATTTCCACACCTAATCTGGACCCCACTTAAATCAACCGGGAGTTTCCCTGGGTGAAATGTGGGGATCAAACCACTTTTGGAGGGGGGTGTAAACTGGGGTTGATTTTTCTATGGGTGCTGTAGATCCCCCAGCAAATAGCTTGACAGTTTGCCGGTCAAAAGGAAATAGGCGGGGAATCCAAAAAGTTAAAGTCGCAAGATCCAACCCAATAGCAGTACCTGGAGTCTCCATGACCCTTTAAAAATGGCTTCACGGCCCCATTATTTGACCACATCTTTGAAGGGTCATGGAAACTCCCAGCCCATTTTTGCCGGTTTCTGAAAAGGACCTGGTGGGGATTCGGTTTTCCCCCCCCCCCCCGTTCTTTGGACAGTATCTTTCTATGGCTTGGTTGACGTTGGAAGGGGATCAAAAAATAAATTTTAGCAGTTAAGTGGGGATTTCCCACTAAACCACAATAAGCAAAAATGTGCAATGTTTCCCAACGACAACCATGATGGGGTCAACACCCACTTGCCTGCGAGGTAGTGACGCGCCCTGCCGGTTCTCATGGCCACCGATCATGGCGACATCCAAAAGGCTGGGAGATTCGGCTCCCCAAATCGACGGGGTGTTGGTTTCTTTGCGGGTGTGGTGTGTCGGCAAAGCAAAACAACAACAACAACAACATAATTTTGTTGCTTTTTTTTTGACACAGGCCCATTTCTCAAAGTGCCCTTACGGTGTGTTGTCTGGCAAGGGCAGGTGACATTCATTTGCCATGGGACCATCTTACCCAAAGTCGTTCCTTGGCTACTTGACCACATACCGTTCAAATACCTGTCCAAAGAACTCGAAAGAACTCCAATAGCCCGGATTTTGTGAAGCAATTCGTTTTTCGCAGCCTAACTGGTAGCAACCAGAAGGAAGGCTCGAGCCGATAGAAGCAAAGCGAGGCATCACGGTGTTGGATGTGACCGCAGAACTCCCAATGCGTCTCCCCGCACCAATCAAGGATCCTTACATTATACACCTGAACATTGCCATGCATAAATGATGGTTTCACCTGAACATTGCCTTGTAAATGGTGGTTTCCCTTTATTTTGGTGGAGCAAGCAACATGTTTCAAATGGTTGCAATCCGGGACTCCCGATGGCCTTGGGACAAATGGGTGTGGCTCAAAAATCGGTACATAAAATGGAACCCTGTTAAATGGAAACATGGACAAAAACCTGCGGTCCCCTGGTGGTTTAATTTTGACCCATACCCAAATGAGCCCTCTGTCGCCTGTGTTTTTGTGTTTGCCTTGATTTGGAACCCGCCCAAACGGGATAGTAGATTCAGACCCCCAGTGGCCGCGGGAAATAAGGCATCTCTTTTTGGTAGGAAGCTGTCTCCAACAAAAAGGAAACGAGCACAGAACTGGGTAAGTAATGCCCCCGGACGTTGCGCCGTCTTCTTTCAGCCAGCCCCTTGCTGCTTGGGCCCGCAAACGGGCTTGCAAGGCGCCTGCGCCAAATGGGGATCTCCTTTGGAGAGTGGGGCATCCAAAGTCGAGCTAGGTGCGTTCCCTTACGTCAGTCCGCACCCCACGAAAAAAATGCGCCAGCTGCCGTCAAGGGCTCTGCAGTTTGACAAGCCCCGAATGGCACGTGGACGAAGCGCACGTGAAGCGCGCTCAAAACACAGGCGGCCAGGTGTTCAATTCAGTGGACCCTGCGGACAGAACTGTGGGGAGTTCTGCCAGCATCCTTCAGCAACCCGAAACTTGTTGACACTCCACATGCTCAAAAACCAGTGGAACATCACCACAGTTCTCATCCAGGGCCCCCCAAATAGCCCAAAGGAGCCTTTCAGCCATTTGATGGCTGGTGGGGAGTCCTGGAGTCGCTTGGGGTTCCAACTCCTCAACCAAAATCTTCCACAATGTGGAACATCACTTCAGTGATACCATTCCCCATGACTACTTTCTAAGTTGGGGTTGATCATAAGGTTCTTTGCATGGGATGAGGAAACCACTAAGGGTCGATATGGCCCACACGGCAAAAGTGAGCCATGGTCAAAACCGGGGGCCCTAAATGGTGACTACTGATCCACCGATCAACCCCCACATGAGGATTCCACCTTGGTATCACAGAAGCTGGGGATCGAAAACCTCGAGAAAGACCTCTCAAGCTCACGCCATACCATTGCCCGCAGCCGGGTCCACCACCGTTGCTTCTACCTGCGCAAGTTGCAGTGAGAGTTGACCCGTCCAAAACCCGGAAAAGGGGGGGGGGGGAATCTACCCATTCAATCTACAGACAAGCCCTACCTAAAGCTCTCAACTTGGGAGAGCCACCATTGCGCATGGATGTATCTTTATTTGAGGATACTCCCCAAAAGGATCGTTGCCCTTTTGGTTTCCCGGTACAGCCAACAGGCGGAGACAGCCCTTTGGAAGGGGGTCCCGCAAGAACGAACTCCACAGACTCGGTGAAATATTTAGAATGTTCACAAGGCTGCCATGTGTTTTTGCTGCTTCTTTTTTTTATTAATGTACCTGTCTCCATGACCCCTTAAAAATGGGTTCATGACCCAATTATTGTGTTTTGGTAATGAACCCATTTGTTTAAGGGTCATGAAGACTCCAGGTAGGTTGAAGCTGGTAAGATTTGGAAACCAAGCAACATGACCACTGGATTCAAGGATTGGAAAGAATACACCAGCCATTCGCGTGTGTGATGCCCAACCAGAACCAAAATGCAGGCGGCCGGAGTTGAGCCAGGGCATCATCCCTTGAAGGAACACAGCTCCTGACCATCACCGGGATGCTTAAAACCATCCTTGGTGGTCCAAAACAGGGAACCCTGAGAAACCCTTTGAATGTGGGATGTTCTCCTATTGGAACTGTGGCTGCAAGTCAACCACCTAGGGCTACCCCTGTCGCACTCAAAAACGCGATCAAAACCTAAGTCGGCGGCAAATACAAGCGTGCCTTCATCCCCAATCACAAGCAAGGAGCGGGGCGGAATGATCAAAAAGATCACCATGATCATCAAAACCATGGCTGAGTCCCGGCAATTTCATTCGAACCCCCAGCTCTTGCTTCCTCAAGGGCATTCCATCCACAGGTCAAATGCCAGAACACGGTCGTGCTCAAAATAGAACAACTGCTGACAATAAAGAATCCAAACGCTGTCGACTTGCCATGTGTATGTATACATATATCTATATGTGTATACATCTGTGTATATATACATATATATATATATATTGTGAGTTTTCGCGGGCGACTTTTTGGTGAACGTCATTTAGGTGTCCAGTTGACTGCTTTTGATGGTGTTCCTGATGTACAAGGGCTGCAGTTCTTCCCCTTGAAACACGATGTTCTCCAAAAAATTAGCCATCCGCATGCCATGGAAGAAGAAACATATGTGACCTTCTCACGAAAAAAGCAAGCAACAAGTTACAACGGCTAGAAATCGTGCTCAATTCTTGGCTGGAATTAGGACCCCAGCAAAAAATATATGTTTTGCCTGGTTAGTGGAAAACAAAGGGGACCCCAAAAAAGCAAAAAAGGAAAAGGGGGAGCTAATTCTGGGGAAGAATTGAGGTCCCCTGTCTCAATTGAGGCCGTGGGGAATGATCACTGTGATACAGAACGGGCCTAACCCCTAAAACGAACTTGTTCATAAGGGGGATTCCCAAAAGTATCACAGAATATTATTTGTTTTTATATAAACCCCTTGATCCCACAACCCACAACCCTGCTGTCAAATGCTTGAACTTTTTGGGAACTTATCTTTTACGGGCAAGACTCGCTCGTGCCGAAATGGCCGTGGTTCAACACCAATGGTACCATTTTCGTTGCTAGGTGAATTCACCACCCATTTTAGAACTTATTTTAGTGGTTGGATTGGTTGATGTTCACTGGGGGTACGAAATTTTGGTTTTGACCCATCGCCAAATAAACGACGCGTGAGAAAGGAATTCCCATTGGTCTGAGCGGCCACAAGCGGGGTAGCCACCGGAGCGCCTGGGTTTCGCTCGCAAGGTGATGCAGTACGTTACTCAGGTGGGGCGTACCTGGAGTCTCCTTCTGACCCTTTAAAAATGGGGTCGTTGCCCAAAATATGTTTCGGGTCATGGACATCAATTTGAAGGGGTCCTTAGTTGCAAAGTCCTCCAGATTTGAGAAGTTAGAATAAGTTGGTACCCGCCCAATTTTTGGTTTTGTCTATTTTAGTAGGGTCCCGAACCCTCCCAACCAAAAAAAAGGGGAATCTCAGTTGCTGCACCTGGGGTCGCCGGATCTGACCCGAATCCAAAGGTTCATGACCCCATGATTTTGGGTAATGACCAAGCATCTTTTAAGGGTCATGGAGACTCCAGGTATATAGGGCAACTCCACCAAAATGGTGCTCAACTCTTGGTTTCCGTTTAAACCAAGGTCAAAACCTTCAAAACAACCATGGATTTGAGTGTTCACAGAATGAAGCCGCTGAACATTGATTCAAAGTGCAAAGGATAAAGAACCGACTTATGCTTGCGGTAGGTTCGTGCTTCCTAAAATTAAGGAACCTCCGTTTTGGCATGTTTTGAAGAGGTCGCGTGGCCCACATAGCTCACTTCATTGTGATGTGTATAGTGGTCTATTTGTTCTGCAAACAGAACGCATTCGCATGCTTTCGCAAATAGTGGTGTGTTTGGGAACTCTCCCTTACGTGCCTGTACTGCTTCACCTAGTAGATGGGTCTTTGAAAAAACACAGGCCCTAAAATTGCAGACCATAAAAACCTGCTGGCGCCCTTGACACCCTTGCCATTGCAGACTTCAAACAACCAGGCCACTCTCAGTGTATACCCTCAATTGGGCATTTCGACCAGCAGCCTGAACCAAAATGGCCTGCTGTATATACCCTCAGTTCATTTGGGCATTTCCTACGTACATGTGTATTGCAAGCAAACCAAAAACCATGGCTGAAATTACAACAGCGTTTCCGTGGTTCCCTACTTTTCCGTGGTTCCCTACTTGCAATGTTGAGTTGGCAGCCGCTGACAATATCTTTTCATTTTGCTGTCTCTTTCCCCCGGAAGTCTCCCAATATAATCTAAAGAGTTACGAGAGACAAGGAGTGCAACCAAGAAAGCCCAAACACAAAGCCGAGTGCACAAGGAAATGGGTAAGAACGCATATTCCACAAGCAGCGCACTGACTAGCACATGCCAAACAACTTGAACAACACTGAACATGTGCCACATGCGATAACACTGAACCTGAGAACAGCCAGTTAGCTCAAAACCGAAACGGCAAGTCAAAGAATCATGCTCGCCCGGAACCACACGCAAATCATCATCCCGTCTGCCAAATTATACCAAACATATATGTCCAAGCGGACTCAAGATTTCCCATCAACAACACTGAGTCGCTGGCATCACATCAAACACACAAAATAATCCACTCGGGCATTTGTCATGGTTTGGGTCCGGAGATGTCTTCATACGTTGACTGATTGGATTTTCCCAATTTGCCACACCCAAACATGCTTGATGGGCTTAAATCTCTGTGCTGTTTTGATTTGATGACACCCCTTTTCGTGCTTTTCAAAAACACCAAGGGAGGATCACTTGACTTGGCCCACATCTAGCACATAAGCAAATGCTGTCAGCTTCCGCTCATTTGTGTTTCCCTGAAATATCAAAAGAAGTGTTGGAGCCCAAAGGGAAACAGCTGGCCACTTTCCGGGGGATCAATTGAGTTGGAGAGACCACAGTTGGCGTGCGCGTTGCTTCAAAAACGAAAGCTCCGCTTTTCAAGCCGCCTGACATTTCAGGCGAAAACCAACATCATCTCACTTGCCCCAAAAGGGACCTGGAAATAAAATGGGAAATACCCGGTGATCAGCTTTTGGGGTCACTAACAATTCACATCGGAAAAGCTCCCGACGTCCGATCCGGTGGATTCGCTTTGGACAACCAAAACCGGTAGGGAATGTGGCTGAATGAACCGGTTTTGGGGATTCCCGAATGAAGGAAACATCACCAGGTGGATGAGAACTTGCTCGGGGTGATTCCACAACTCTCGTTCCCTGCCTATCGCCCATCCAACTGGTTTCCTTCCTTCGGGAATCCCCAAAAACCGGTTCATTCAACCACCTGGAGCCCCCATGACCCTTCAATCATGGGGTCGTTACCCCAAACAATGGGGTCATGAACTCTTTTTTAAAGGCTCAGATCCGGAGACTCCATGTCAAAAAACCATCCAACTGGTGATGTTTCTTCAGTCGGGAATCCCCGAAACCGGTTCCACCACATTCCCCACCTACCCACAGCACCAAACGCCCGGCCCGTCGATTCGGAAAGGGCGCCGGGGGTGAAGGTAAAGCTCTGGCCCGCAGACACGCCAGGAGGAACCGTGGCAGTCGCCACGCCTCAGAGAACGACTAGCCCCGGTGAATCCCAGTTGTCCAAGTACCCTCTAAGGAGGTATAGACCCCTTTTTGCCCCCCAGAAGCCATCCTCAGGAGGTGCCAAGGGACCCTCTGGGTTAGGTAAGGTTTTTGGGTAAGCCAACCACCTGGAGTCTCCTTCTGACCCGAATCCAAAATGGGTTCATGACCTCATTATTTTGGGTAACGACTCCATTTTTTAAGTGTCATGGAGACTCCAACCGGCCCATTTTTGCCGGTTGGTTCTGAAAAAGGACCTGCCGGTGGGGATTCAGACCACTTTTGGAGGGGTTTTCCCCCACCCCCCCGTTCTTTATGTTTCTATGGGGTCCCCCTTTTGGCGCAGTGGATGTTTCAGGCAAGGCCTCAGGAAACCCTTGGAGCCCATTTTGGTATTGGCCATGGAAAAATGTGGCGCTTTTTTTGACGGTTTGGTGGCACAAAACCAGGTGCCTGGATACGTTGCCCCGGTGGAATCAGAGAAGGGTTGCACCCTTGCGCCTCCTTGGGCCTTAGGCCTGATTTTGGCGGAAGGGCCCTTGACAACCATAGGATTCTGGGAATTTGTGTATAATCCTGGTATCACGGGTACTCGGTGCTAATAGGACAGTCATATCTAGGCAGTGTATATAATCATCCATGTGGTCGCTGATGCTCCATAAACGACGGAAGCAAAATAGTAGCGTCGCTTTGACACATCAGAATTAAGTGGCGCAGCAGCAAATTAAATGTGTATGTGTCGTAGCCAGAAACCCGAAGCAAGTTCGAAGTTTAGCTCTCTCACGAAGGAAGCTCAATACCAGCAAAAGTACCTCGGCGCACTATGTCAATTTTGTATGTCAACCTGGAGTCTCCATGACTCTTTAACAATTGGTTCATGACCCCATTCTGTTGAGTACTGACCAACCATTTTTTACGGATCATAGAGACTCCAGGGACCCGTTCCAAGGATTGTACTGTTGGACCTTTTGTGCGAATAGTACCCTGTATTGTAGATATTACTCGAACAAGGCCATGGTTCCCATGGACCGGCTTGCAGGATCGGACAACTCTTGGAAAAAAAGCGAGACATGGAACCCATCCCCCATTTTTGATGGCTTCCTTTTTTTGAAGGGGTGAGTTTTATGGATCCGTTCCATGCATCCTTTTTTGGGCTTCCTTTCGATTTAGGGGAGTAAGCTGGAAGCGACATCCAAGTCCGCCATCTCCCCTCATTGGCTGCGATCGATCTTGCGGCTCCGATGTTTGAGGAGAAGGTTCCGGCTCCCTCTACGTCTCCGTCCCCAATGGAAACATCGCCCCAAAGGGAATCTCTCTTTGCTGGGCTATTCCCAGATCCCCTGCTAAAAGTTTAACCTTTAGTGGTTGAGTGGAAACTGCCACTAAACCCTAAAAGCCTAAGGTACGGCTGGGAACCACCAAGTTTACGTGGTTCAAGGTGATGCGTGAAGAAAAGCAACTCTCAGAAGCAAAAGTGGCCCTGGAGCTGATGAAAGCTAATTTTCAACGGTTGGTTCGAACGCGACGCCACTGGCGTTGTCTAATATATACATTTATATATCATATTTTGCACATATACCCCATTTGCCGTTGGAGGTGGTGGTTTGCGGTGTCCATCTTAGAGCTCTGAAGGGGCGCTTCTCTGTTTGAGACAGGCACACACGCAGCATGGAAAAAAATCCGGCACCTTGGGATGGATGTCCCAAGAGAACCCAATCCCAACTGCGAGATAGATGTGGTCCATTCCTACCTGGAGTCTCCGGATCTGACCCGAATCAAAAAACGTATTTTGGGCTACGACCAACCATTTTTGATTCGGGTCAGAAGGTAGTATTCTTGGTTGCTGGCAAGGCCCCCCCTGCAAAAAGTTCTTCACTTTTGGGGGGTTTAGTTTGAAAACACCTTGATTTCAACCAAAAAGTGAAAGTCTGAAGATCCGTTGCCCAATAGCAGTCAAGTATTTCACCCCGAACACCCCAGGAGTTCCCTCCACGGCCTCTAGTTCGCCAAGCCGGCTCGTTGGCTGGAAGGTCACCCCAGCGAGTCTAAGGGTTTTTGTAGTACACCCTGGGAATACACCTGGTTGACCCCATTTAGGCACATTTCCGGATAAAACCGTGATTTTGAACCATTCTGGGTCATTTCCCAAGAGTGTAATCCCAGGGTGTACAAAAACCCTCAGAACGAGGCAACCCACGTGCATCCACTACGGCTCCAGGCCGTTTGGGCCCATCACTTGAAGCTGTTGACCTGACCGCACACGCGAGTCGCCAAGAAATGGTAAGGCGTCTACCTGGAGTCTCCTTCTGTTCTGACCCTTCAAAAGGGGTTGGTCAGTGCCAAAGAAATGGGGTCATTCGCCAAGATCTGGAGTCTCCGGATCTGACCCTTAAAACATGGTTGGTCATGAATTACCCAAATAACTAAGTCATGGACCCCTTCTTTTCAAGGCTCAGATCCGGAGACTCCAGGCATTTCTGTTTGGCGCGAGTAGGTGCAAGCCGCCGAACAAAACTACCGTAGCTGAAGACTGCTTCCTGCACAACGTTTCAATCAAGTACCTGAAGTCTCCTTCTGACCCTTCATGGGTCCATGACCCCATTATTCTGGGTCCCATTTGGTAGCGGTGAGAAGGAGACTCGTAGCCAACCAACCTGATGTAACTTGCATGAAAGAAACCTTTAACGAGGCACAAACTCGCAAAGCTTGGCGTCCAATGCCCTGGCCATCGAAATGGCATGTGGCATCACAAAAACCAACACGCCTGAGCCGCACGTGACCTGAACAAGGCAACCAGCGCTTAGAGCTAGGTGCGCTACAAGTTTGTCGTGCGATGAGTCATTCAATTGAGGCCTCCACTGACTGGGTCACCCGAAGATATGGGTTTGTCTCAAAATGACACCCCCAAAATGGCTAGTGTCCTTGTCGTTCCCCTTTGACTCGACACCAAAAAGGCTACCCTGAAGAATAACATGGTTCTCGCATGAGGGCCCCTTCTGGTTTCTAGGAAACCCAAAAAGGTGCAATCCATGAAAACCGCAGTCGGATGGTTGGTTTCGATCGGGGTTCCTGCAAATTCCGTGCGAAGGCGCGTTACCAGAGGGAGACATCACAAAGTTCACCATGGTTCCACATAGCATCGCATATTCATGTACGTGTCAAACACTTGAGGGACAAATGAACCAAGTGAGCTATGGTACGTCAAAATGACTTGTTGCACAATAGGACAAAGGAAATCTAGTGCGTGTCGGCTTGTCGATCCTCAAGTAGGCCGCAGACCGGAATTTTGACCAAGCCTCAAGCATGGTTCCCTTGCAATGGTAGTACGGACCCTTATAATGGTTGTCTAGCAGCTGATGACTACCCTGTCAACCACAAGTCAAACGGAAAATGAGTACCTTCCATTTGGTTAAGACCCCTGGAAAAAAAAAAAAACAACAACCATATTTCAGGTAGTGACAATGTCCTTTTAAAACCAACAAGGGGAAAAAAGGGGGGAAACAACTACTCTTAAGCAAATGGAAGGTACGGGATACATCCAGAAACCACGGGGGCAATCTCTTAATCTTCCAGGGGATGTTTGAACTTATGAACTGCCAGGTATTCCTTTGCTCCCTCCGCCTCCCTGGGGTTTGAAGCTTGATTCAAACTTCACCTCCTCGCAAAAAGCCTTGAAAGGGGTATGTCTTCAATTCGGCGAACACCTCCCCACCCAAGAAAAAACGTGATTCTTTTCTGGAGGTTGCTTTTGTAGGTCATGTTTTTTACCGGCCCCCCAAAAACAAACTGAGCTTCTCATGTTTGTTTTCCCTTTACCGCACCGGGGGTACCAGCTCAAGGGCCTTTGGTGGGTCTCAAGGGGGGCGGGAAGCTTCCAGCTTGCAGCTCGCGGCTTTCGGCCGGAAGCTTGCAGCCGCGCCTGGCGAGACCCCGGGCGGCACCGTGACCATGACGGAGGCGCCCGGGACGGAGCCCCCAGCCGGCATGAAGGCGATCATTCGCATGGTCCTGGCCGGAGGGAGGGGATCGGTGGGATGCGAAACAACGGGGTGTCTGGGATTCGTCCGGAAGACCAAAGCTTTTCTTATTCACCGCGGCTTAAAAGTGGGTCTAGTACCCTGGCGATTGAGAGTGCTGAAAGGATGGGCAGGTGTGTCCTTGTCTAAGGGTCCAAATTTGATGCTTGATGTTGTGGGAGTTTGGCAAACATGGTCCAAATGTCTGACCTCACCTGGGAGAAGTTTGGTATTGCGAGGAAAGCTGTTAGACTCCCTGAGCGGATGAGACCACAAAGAGTCCGAACTGTTTGCTTGCCACAAAAGAGGTCTTCCAAAAAAGTATACAGCCCGAGCAAATAATAATTCACCAACAGGGCTGTTCCCAAAGGGGTTGGGAAGAACCAAAACTGGTGGACGGAATACCAGAATCTGTTCAACTCGCATTGGTTCATCAGCTTCTTGCTATTTTTAGGGACCAACCCTAACCAACCGAAAAGCGTGACATCGCAACAAACAAACAATTGCCCGGATTCATCAACCACAACAATCAGGGATCCTTACATTATAACCCTCAATATTGCCTTGTAAATGGTGGCTTCCCTTTATTTTGGTGGAAAAAGCCATGTTTCAGATGGGCAACATGTCTTCAAGGGGCCCATTTCTGGCCTTACCCTTCCATCTCCTTTTCTGTGCGGCTCAAAATGTGAAGCCATGTTTGACACATACACAGCTGGGAGATTGCAATTTTAGGGGTATATACCTTCCATGTCCATTCTTTCCAGGCATCCTTCTTTCTAGAAAACAACGGCTGGTTGTTGAAAAGAACGATGGTTGAAAAGAATGGAAAAGGAATCAACAGCTGGAAGATGCTGATTTGACAACTGGGTATGAGTTTCCTAGAACACTCTTGGACATTCACATGGAGATGTCTTCTTTTGAGGGCGCCAATTCGCTTAGGTAAGCCAAAACGAAAATCATTCTTCCCGGGGGTCCTCGAAAAAAGACAATCCCATGTTGAGAATGTATCCGTCTCCAAGGAAACCCAACCCAAAGTGCTTGATGGGCGTGGGACCACTCTACGGGTACCTTCGCCATTCATTCCAGGGATCCTTCTTTTCAGAAAACCATCAGAATTTTAGGGGAAACAGATCTGGTTGTTTAAAAGAATGATGGTTGAAAAGAATGGAACAGGAATCAACCCCTAGAAACGAGCCAGCCATATTCAGATACTTCTGTTCTAGCCGAAACATGTCAAGCACCCGGCTCCGGACAATTGCGCTCCTACGTCATGCTTTTTGGTGTCCTGGAAGGGTGCAATAGTGCACCATGAAATGTGCAAGTGGATATCGGAACCTGCGCACGTACCCTCCCATCATGGAATCTGCCAGGGAGCTTTTGGAGTTAACTGCGTTTTGATGTCCAGTTCTATGATTCTTGGAAGCAGGGATGCTGCCAACTGGGTCTCATGACACGTACGTTGGCTCCCTGTCCAACCAAAAATACGGAACCTTGCAGGCATTCAACACACGATGCACGCCCGATCAAAAAAACAAAATGCCAATAACAATTCCCAAACCCAAAATAAAAAATCATCCCCAAGTAACGTGGTCATGGACAGAATCGCCGTTTTTTTCCCGGCGGACATCGCTCTTGCCCGAACGGTTGCACAACCGAGGAAGCCATGCTCCGTCGCTCACCGCACGGTCCTTGCGTTCTTTGGCTTGCAGAAGCCTGCGCGGCTTCTTGTTTGAGGCCAATGAAAAGGAGCTTGGAGAACCTCACGAGAGTCAAAATCAAAACCCGGTATTAAAACTGTCGTAATCCCAGAACCATGCTTCAAGAATTAAGAAGGCGGCCACAGCTATTTATGGTTGGGATTGTCCCTTACTAACCTTCATTTACCCGGGTTTTGATTGTGGCTCACGAGGGAAAAAAAGGGTGCCACTGAACAAGTCTAGAATGGAACATGTCCTGGACTTCCTTACTGCCATGACAAAAGGTTGGGGCTAGAGCATCCGATCAAAGCTGAAACTTGCGGCTCTCTGGATGGCGGGATGACCTATGTACGTCGAGCCCAATGAAAGCCCGATGTCACCTCCTGATTATTCAATTGCGTCATAAGAGGTGGTTCTTGGCTTAGTTTGGGTGGTGATCTATGGATTCCTTAGACCGTCATTGAAGCTGACATATGAGCTTGACTTGCTCCCCGAGCTGACTCCATAGTCCGACTCCCGGGAGCAAAAGCTGTCAGAGAACGGGTGTTTTCATATGCTTCGGCCTTGCTCCTACCTGGACCCTCAAACTTCCCGTAAAACAAAATAAACAAATACATCAACCATCATTTTGGGTTGATATAGCGCATGTTTAAGTTGGACTTTGGAGGGTCCGGTCGCCCGTTCTCAGCCGGTTGTCCAATTGATGTCCGCGACTTTCGGCCCTCTGGCGTTAAGTTAAGTCAGCCATTCTGATGGAGTACTTTGGGTCAGCTGGTTCAGATGCGCATGAGAAATGGAATGAGTCCGAACAAAAACCGATTCCCCCGAGTTGGATTCCTTTCAACTCCCCTTCCGGCTCATTCCCAACACCCATCAGATCCCATCATACCCTTCATATCGCACCAGCAAGTTTGTTGAACCTTGGGACCACTGTGGATATCAAGGAACGCTTCCAAAGCGTAAGCCATGTAGAGACGGCAATCCGAGAGTTAAGGTAAGCTATTTGGAATCACCCAGCCGCCAGCGACCAGAACACTTATACAACAAACACAGCAACCATGCTACCTGGAGTCTCCGTGACCCTTAAAAAATCCTTGGTCATGACCCAAAATAATGGGGTCATGATTCGGGTCAGATCCGGAGACTCCAGGTATTGTGAACCTGGACCCCCATTGGGCTCCTTTCTTCCCCAACAAAAGGGGGGAGTCTCCTTCTGACCCGAATCAAACATGGGTCATATGAACCCCATTATTTTGGGTCATGACCCACCATTTGTTAAGGGTCATGGAGACTTAGGTGACCCCCAGCTTGCACTGCAGGTCAACCGAACAGGTGAATCAGAACGCCTGCGAAGGTCAACAGCTTCAAACGCATAGGCGAACTCATCGGGTCTCGGTTGGGAATCCGGATCCCTGGGTGACACCCCCCAAAATGGAGACTCGGATAGGTTATGTTGCTGGTGCACAGCAGGCAATGAGAAGTGGAATGAGTTTTATAGATTATTCAATTGGTGGTTTCCTTTAAGGGAACAAGCTGTGACAAGCCTGTGTTCATTCCCTCATTCCCTACCTGTCGCACGAACCAGTTATTCACGCGTTCCGAATTGATGTTTTCCGTAAAATCGGCCGGTGTTCTCCATCGCGCCTGTCCACCTGGTGCGATACTGCACATGCACAGCGCGACCTGAGGCAATGGTCACATCGCGGCACCACCCATGCACCTGAGCCAGGCGACGGATCTGAGCGGTAAAAAATGGAGTCATGACTCATGACAGATACATCGGTTACTCCGATTTGGGTCGGATCCGGAGACTCCGAAGGCCGCAAAAAAACCTCCGGGCAATTGGATCCCCCCAAAACCGCTTTGCGTCTTTTCGGCATCCAGCCTCCCGGAATCGAAGCACGCAATTTTCCGCAATAGGATTGGTGGCTTCTCAATGGGGGTTCATCTCTCCCAAGTGGATTTCGACATGGAATCATGGAATCTCCTGAACTTTCCAGGAACGTATTGGATGAACGCTGGACCCGTTACCTGCAAGCGGAGCTCCCAGCAACTTCGCGAAGCTTTCAGGGGGAAGGACATCCCACACAAAAAACGACACATAACTGGGTTTTCAAGGGCCAGTTCGGCTTCAAGGAATCAAGAGCCACAAACACTCTCTCTGTGTGGCTGAGTCTTCATCCCACGACTTACTTGTCATCATCTGCCTCATGCTCTCCAGGTCTTTCTTGAGGCAGCAAGGGCCGTGGAGCAAATCAGTCCTAAATCTAAGGTTGCAAGGTGCCAAGGTTGGGCTGACCTTCAAACGTGTTGCAACTGCTGCTTCGCTGGCCTTATGATTTTATCATAGTGAAAACCTCCAAGAGGAAGGCTAAGGGAAACACCAGTTGCTTTGATAACCCCCAGAAACAATCAAGACGACTCCAGTTTAAACCTGGATGCCCGAACAGAACTGAGGCCTATTCTTCTACAACCAGGCGTCTGAAAATCGGGGACCCGGTGTTTTTTAAAGTGCACGATGTTGTTTTTTTGTTTTCCTTTGTCCTTTTTGCAACAGGGATCCTTACATTATACACCTGAACATTGCCTTGTAAATGGTGGGTGTCCCTGGATTTTGCTGGAAACAACCATTTTTCAAATGGGCAAAATGTATCTTTTAAGGAGCCCTGTGCAATCATGTTGCAATGGGCCATGGGAGTGAACAGGGGTTTTTCAAAAGAGATGATTCGGGGGAGGGTACCCTCGGCAAATCCCAAAACGGGGCTTCCTTGGTCAGAGGCTCCTGGCTTCGGCTTTCAATGGAAGACACGCCCCGAAGCATTAGACACCGCGAGAATCGGTGTTTGGGGTTCTCAAATCCTGGCTGTTTGAGGGCCCAAAAAACATCCGGAGCCTCCACACAAAAACGATGAACATCGGCCCCTTTGCGAGGCGCCTCAGTATCCAAGGCCGTGTTCTTCTGCACGATAAAGGCTCGGCCGCCGATAACGATGAGGAATGTCAAGAAGACCACCGGCCTTACGTCCCGCGGTCTAAACCGAAAGTTTGGTCTTCCGGTCCAAGGCTGGTCTCACCACAAAAAAAAACAATCCAATCCGACTCCATCTGATCCATTGTCCTCTCGGCTTTCGAAGGGTGCCCAAGTTTCCTTTACGCCAAAGGTGAGCTGGATGGCACAACTTGGGCAAAAAAAACATGGGGGGGATCTACTTTTACCCTACACGCCATGAACGCTTGGAAAGGCGAAGTGCGCAAAAGTACTTGGAGTCTGTGGATCTGACCCTTCATAAATGAATGGTCATTGCCCAAAAGACCGGGGTTGGTCATGGACCCATTTTTGGTTTCGCTCAGATCCGGAGACTCCAGGTACTCTAGGCCCCATTCTTTTCAACCATCGTTCTTTCCAAAACCAGATCTTTCCCCGGAGGTTCTGACGGTTTTCTGAAAAGGATCGTGAAGAATGGTTGGGCCTGGTTGGCTGCGTGTCCGGTTCCTGGAGCTGCGTGTCCTACGGTTCACAGCATGTGATGTTTCAGCCAGGCACTCTGACTCTGAAGCTCATGCCTCGCGAGATTTTCGAAAACCTCTGAACGCAGACTTCCTCATTGCGCCTGGGCTATGGGTATGAGTCTTAGTTGGGGAAGGCCTTGGGTGGACATCATCTAGGTGGATAAATTTTTGTCCACCAACCACTTTTCAGGAGGCTCCCCCCCCCAAAAAAAAAACTAGCCACGTGTGAGTAAATTGCGGGGACTTCCGAAACCGGCCGGTCATACACGAGACGCCGTCGAATACTCGGACTGCGAAGTCCGAGGTGGGCCGTTTGGCCGTGACCGTCCCCGTTCCCAGCTTGCAATGAATTGAAGCGCAAACCCAAAGGCACATTGCCAAAGCCCAGGGATCCTTACATTGTACACCCGAACATTGCCTTGTCAATGGTGGTTTCCCCTTATTTTGGTGGAAACAGGCATGTTTCAAATGGGCGAAATGTATCTTTTAAGGAGCCCTGCCCAGCTGTGTCAGAAACCTATGGCTCGCACATTCCGACCTTTGGACCTGGATGTTGCTCGAGATTCGGGACCTTTCAGGTGCCTGATTTCCTTTTGGCTTCCGCTCTTACCACCACCAGGAGGTCCCAGAAACCGTTTCTCAGCTGGGATACGATGTTGGAACCAAACACCCCTTGTCCAAGTAAAGCCTAGCTCCACACCTAACAGGCGCTCTGCATACGTCTCCTTGGCTGATGCCTTCGTACAGTCTTAAGAATCCTCAAAGTTCCTCGCGTTTGAAAAAAACATTCGCATAGGTCGAATGGTCGTATATATCTGCGATTCCAACCCCTTTTCAGGCACTCCGATTTTAAGCATAATATATATATATATATATATATGAGGGTTGTCCTCTCTTCCTTGCTCCAAAAGTCGCCTTCCGCCTCGCCCTTCCGCGACCTTCCGCGATGGAGGTAAAACCACACGTTCTGATACGTGTCTGAACATAAGTAAGTTTCCGTAAAGTAAAAGTAAAGCAAGCCAAGAGAAAGAGCAAGAAGTAGACTAGGAATGGAGCGAGGATGGGACGAAGAGAAGAACAAACAAAAGGAAGGAGAAGGACAAGCAAACGTAGGAAGCGGAGCAGCAGAACACCGGAGAAAGAAAAGGAAGGAGGAACATGGCAACAAGCGACAAGCTACGCTACATAAAGAGACTAGCCACCCCCCTCGCACGGCGACAGCCACAGTTGCGGGGGCTTCGTTTTGGTATCGTTTTGGGTATCGCTTTGAGCACTAGCACGCTGCTACAACTGCGGCGTCCCCAGGCGAGAGAATAAGCAGCAGTACTGGAAGCAAGAGACGGGTGGGCCAGCCCCGGCGCAAGGCAACAGCTGCAATTGTATGGGTTTCGCTTTGGCATCGTTTTGGGTATCGTTTGGAGCTCCGAATGAAATGCCAGAACGAAAAAAAACGGACCGCGAATTTTGTTTTTCGCGCTTTTGTACAAACTCTGCCGCGGGAATCAGAAGGACCGCCGAATATGATGCCAGACTCGGTAGCTCAGTTCGCCCCAGGCACTCCGCGGTATCGTTTCGGAATTGAGCAGGCATCGCTCGGGGTATCGTTTTCATCTCAGTACAAATCAAGACATGAAGCACATTTTGACTTTGACAGCCCAGCTGAAGCATCGCAGCTTTCAAGTACTAGCAGAGTACGAGCTGTCCCAGCTCAAGCAGCACAACTTTTCAGTACTCGTGTAGTACAAGAGTAAAGCTTCATCCCATGATAACACATAACCTTTCGCGAAACTTCCGCTCGCCCTTCCGCGGCGCCGTAACACCGAATATATACCTGGAGTCCGTGAGCCTTTAAAAATCCCATTATTCTGGGTAATAACCAACCTTTTGTTAAGGGTCATGGTGACTCCAGGTATACACAAGGACAAGTGCTCGAGAACCTGGACTGGGAATTGAACCGCGGAGAGCAATAATACCTACGGACCGGCCGGTCAAACCTGTTCCCTTCTTGGAGGCCTGTTTGCTTGGGTGCTGTAGATCCCCCAGCAAAAAGTTTGACTTTTTGCTGGTTAAAAGGAGATATGAAGGGAATCCAAAAAGCTTTCAGTCTAAAGATCCAACCCAATAGCCGTAGAGCTTGACATTTCAAACCCTTCTTGTCGCCATACGTCTTTTCGGCACGGAACCAACACCACAAAGCTCACAAGGCTACAATGTGCCATACCTCAGAAACAACCTGAAACACTGGGTTTCTGCGACCTTTTCTTGGGCTTGAAAGAAAAACATGATTTCGAATCTCGCACATCGACATCGACGTCGGCCAACTCGAGCTCATTGAAAGCAGCCACGGGAAATTCGACAGGAAATTGGCCAAATTGCAAATACCCACCAAAAGCGGAGATGATTTCCTGTAGAACTTCCTGTACCTGGTTTCTTAGACTCCTTTACCACGCCGAGAGGCAGCAAAACCAAGTTTGCCACCAAGCTGTCGCCCTCCAAACCACGGCCCTCTCGTGTGTCGGTCATACGAAACACAAAGGCCGCCAGCGCAGCCGTGAACGCGACGGGAACTCCTTCGCTCGGCACGTGCGGTGAAGCCCCGAGTTTGGGGACAGTTTTGGGGAGGCCCGCAAGAGGCCCTCCCCGCAGTTCGGAGAAGACGTGCTTGTGGCATCCGTTACCTGCCTGCCTGTATGCCTGATTGTCTGCCTGTTTGTCTCTGCCTCTCTCTGTCTCTGTCTGTCTCTGTCTCTGTCTCTGTCTCTGTCTGTCTCTGCCTGTCTCTGTCTCTGTCTCTGTCTGTTCTGCCCGTCTCTGTCTGTCTCTGTCTCTGTCTGTCAAGGGAAGGACACTGGGGTGACACACGTGCACGCACACACTTAAACACACAAGCTCCTTTCGTTGG